GTCCGGAGGACGCTGTGAGCCTTGCGCCAGTCCCGGATTACTTTTTCGGCGACATCGAATTCTCTTCCTGCAGCACGATTTCCGTGTTGTTCTGCAAATTCAACTGCACGCAGCTTGAACTTCGCATCAAAACTTCGCCGACTTTGCTTTCCATGTGGCGCCATGGTTAACGAGGACGCTGCAACAACGCCGCTACGCCTATGCTACCATGCCACAGAACACCTGACCATGCACAATGGCAGCAAGTGCGACTGCTGCGGCGGGCGAGCGGGCGGAAGTGATGGCAACCGAAGCGGCTCCAGCGGCTCTTGTCCGAAATGCGAACTTGCCTTCCATTATTTATAATTTCGTTAAGTACCTCTACTTTTTTTCGCCCCTCAATGATTATTTATTTTCTGTGCAAAACTATATAAGCACTATTATTTCTAGGGAGGTAATTTACCACTCTTTTTATTTTTTTCTGAAATGTGGTTTCCGTGCATGACAAAAGGGAGCGCACGGCGAACTGCCCGACGGAGAAAGCGTGGCCGCAATGTCCAGGCCGCCTTAAGGCTATTTCACATGCCGCAATTGCAGCGAAAAAAAAAAAAAAATCGTTCCGTTCGCTTCAATCACTCTATTCGCAGCCGCCGCTAATGGCGGTTTCGTTTGACATAGACCGCGAACGGTCCACGATATTCGCTCTGCGACTGGAGCGGCGAGAAACGTTTCTTGCCACCGTTTGTTGTGGCAGACACTGGAATGTTTCAAATATAAAAATCTGTACGTTACGATATTATTAAGCTTCTATGAACGGTAACGAAGAGCACTTTCCAATCTTTGCTAAAACAAACACGTCGACGCTATTTCGACGGCTTGACGGGCCTGGCCCTATTTCGACGGGTCCCGAACAAAAATCGCTCCCGCCGCTGCGATCAGAGCGAAAACTTCCAACATGTTGGAAGCTCGCCACGGACCGCTGCGGTGGGAGCGAACTGGCGCCTTTTTTTCGCTGCGAGCGAATTCACGGACTGAAAATCGCTACTTTTGTGTCATGTGAAACGGCCCTAATTCACGGCATCTGATCCGATTTAGACTGTATATAAGTCGCACCGTTGTATAAGTCGCACCGACGAAAAATTCAGAAAAAAACCGCGACTTATACACCGAAAAATACGGTAATTAGATCTGTTTAATTAACAAACTTTTGAAGGAACGGAGATGGATAAAAAATTTCAATGAGAAAGTTGTAGATCGGTTTGCAAAACGTCCAAATAGATAGTTTTGAACTTTAAAGTATTAGTGTTATTCTGCTAATTACAAATGCCCGCAGAGGAAAAAAAAATACCATGTGACAAACTCGCTCGTGCATCAGTGTGCACGATGATTCTAGTGCTCCCTAACATTTCGCGCACGAACGACACGCATCCCTCGCACCTGTTCATGACAGCAATAAACAGTCACAGAAGTTATCGTTTTTGTGGCCGATAGCAAAACGTGTTTATCATAAAGCCATCATCATCCTTGCGACCCTGCTGAGACAGCACAATGGGGCAAAAGCTATGGTCGTTCATATGCAGAACGTTAGGGAGCACTAGAATCATTGTGGGCACTGGCGCAGGAGCGGGTTTATCACGTGGTGTTTTTTCTATTTCACAGGCATTTGTAATTAGCAGAAAAACACTGATACCTAACAAATATAAAGTTCAAAACTGTCTAATCAACCGTTTTGCAAACAGATCTACAACTCTTTCATTGAAATTTTTTATCTATCTTTGTTTCTTGAAAAGTTAGTTAATGAAACACATTGTTAGGGGTGAGAGATGTTTATTGTACAGGTGGGATGATGGATGGTTGCAGAAGTCAGGCCTGGCACAGAACACATTCACTTGTTTTACTCCTACCCCACTTTAACGAAAGTCTCGTATCATTTCCCCCGTTGCACACGATGTCTACTGGGCGAGTTAGTCAGTGTCGCGCGAGGTATGGTTTCAACCGGGCGATATGTACGACGTCAGTTTTCCTAAACCGATGGTCAGAAGATGTGAGGCGTGATATCACGTACGTAACGTCGCTAAGGCGCGACAAAACGGCGAAGGGACCTGTATAGCAGGCCAGAAACTTTTGATACAAGCCACTCTTGCAGTATGGATTCCACAGCCACACCATATCACCTTCGCTGTATGACACATGTCGATGTCGCTTATCGTAGCGAGCTTTTGAATGGTCTCGGGCTGCGAAAGTCCGGAGATGCGCGATGCGCCGTGCCTCCTCTGTGCGACAAGTGTCTCTGCAAGGGATGTGTTTTCTTGCTCTGAAAACGGGAGAATTGTGTTTAGAGTAGTACGTGGCTCACGGATGTAGAGAAGGTAAAACGGGCTAAAGCCGATGGTCTCTTGTAGTGCAGTGTTGTAGGCGTAGGTCATAAACGGTAAAAGTTCGTCCCAGTTTTTATGCTTCGAATCAACGTGCATAGCGAGCATGTTAATGAGCGTCCTGTTGACGTGCTCAGTCAAACCGTCGGTCTGTGGATGGTATGAAGTGGCGTGACGAAACTGGGAAGCAGACCGGCGAATTAACTCTTCCACGACGTCGGCTACAAACTGCCGGCCACAGTCGCTGATGATGGCACGAGGGGGCCCATGCCCGGAGGATGATGTAGCGTAGCAGAAAGTCACAAACGTGATCGGCTGTTGCGGCAGAGATCACTGCGGTTTCAGCATACCGAGTGAGGTGGTCTACAGAGACTATAATCCAGCGGTTCCCAGTGATAGATCATGAAAAAAGGCCCATCAAGTCAATACCAAGGACCTCAAAGGGAAGACATGGAGGCGATATGTGATGGAGAAATCCTGGTGGCGCACTTGTTTTGACTCTTGTACCGTTGACCGTTGACAATGCTCACAGCTGGTCACGTATTTAGCTGTAGCCTGACGCATGTGGGGCTAGTAGAAATGTTTCAGCATGCGGTGATAGGTCTTGGCAAACCCCATATGCCCAGATGTTAGATCGTCATGCATAGCTTGCAGCATATTGGGTCGCAAAGATTTGGGGACAATCAAAAGTAGGCGGGCCCCCTTTGCAGCAAAATTTCGCTTGTAAAGAATGTCATCCTGCATGACGAATGGGCTCTGATGCGGCTTATCGACGGCAGATGAGAAAAAAGGAGCCAAACTACGGTGTTGACATTGTTCTGTACGGACCGCTTCCAAATTTAGAAACCGTGAGTCAAGAGCGGCCAGACAGTCCTCTAAATTGTCGGTGTCGCATTCAGTCGTGGTAAGGGGAAGTCGCGATAGGCAGTCAGCGTCCGCGTGACGGCGGCCACTCTTGAAGCAAACATCAAAGTCATATTCTTGCAAACAGAGTGCCTATCGTGCAAGACGACCGGTTGGATTTAATAGACCAGTGAGCCAACAAAGTGAGATGTGGTCTGTGACGATGGAGAATCGGCGGCCATATATATACAGGCGAAACTTGTGCAAGGCAAAGACAGCTCACATTCTTGCTCTGTAACAGTGTAATTGCGCTCAGCTTTACTCAAAGAATGATTTGCGTAGGCAATGACATGTTCGGCGGCGCTGTGACGCTGAACTAATACTGCGCCGATACCGATTCCGCTGGCATCACTGTGCACCTCAGTTGGGGCTGATGCATCGAAATGACGAAAAATAGGCCCAGAAGTGAGTAGAACCTTCAGCTGAGAAAATGATGACTCGCACTCTTTCTTCCACTTGAAGGGTACGTCTTTTTGAGCAGATGAGTAAGAGGCTCAGCAACATCGGCGAAGCTAGGAACAGAAAGCCGGAAATGCGAACACAGGCCCAGGAAGCTTCGGAGTTCTCGTAGCGAGCGAGAAGTACTGGGATTGATATCCAGCACTTCCACCAATTATGTTACGGGTGAGAGATGTTTATTGTACAGGCGGGATGATGGATGGTTGCAGAAATCAGGCCTGGCACAGAACACATACACTTCTTTTGCCTCTACCCCACTTCAACGAAAGCCCCGTATCGTACAATAGTCTCGTACCCGTAACATTATCTAATCAAAACAATATTTGAGAACACAAATAGTCCGACTAACTCCAGGCAATAGTGAGCAACATGCATTTGGTTTTGGTCACGTCGTAGTCGCGTGTTACATGGAACACCCTGTGTGTGTGTGTGTGTGTGTGTGTGTGTGTGTGTGTGTGTGTGTGTGTGTGTGTGTGTGTGTGTGTGTGTGCGTGCGTGTGCGTGCGTGCGTGCGTGCGTGCGTGCGTGCGCGGTTCGGTGTAGTGTAGTGTAAGTTTGTAGGGTCATGAAAAATATGCCCATTTTTTTTTATACTATGCGATACATACTATTAGAAATTATTCGACCGAAATTGCTGTTCACTTCGAACATAAAATGCACTATTTGAACAAGCCTACAAAACACATATTAAGTTTGCATGTGTGCAGATGTCAGTAAAAAAACATGAATCTTCAAGTCTAAAGATTTGTTACCTGCTGAACAGATACTTTTTCATTACTGTGTCTATTTTGCTGTTGCAGTTATTCATGTGAAGAAACAAAGTGTAAGATGTAACGAGGAGTCTGCTGACATTTCATCTTGAATTCCGACTGCTCTTGTTTTACTGCACCTGAAAAAAACATTTGGATATGTGCTGTATAGCACATACTGGTCCTGGCTGCATAAGTTTGGAACATGTATGGTCACTTTCAGCCAACAGATCGTAGAAATGGAAAGTTCAGCTTGCAATTCTTTTCTAGATCACTTAACCGCATAATTTCAGGCTGCCAGTTTGTGTCAAATATTGCCACATTTTCACTCAGTGACACCTAATCACCTTTACATCACATTTACCGCCGCTCATTAAGCCACAATTTTGATGAAGAACCATGCTTTCTTGTTTTTGTAATATTAGTGCCTTTTTACTGCAACTGCAGCAGCATTTGCCGCAGGCATAATTATCAGCTGTTTATTTGTTCAGTCAATGCAACTATCTGACACTTTCTTTGCTGTTGTTTTTTACAGGAGATGCAGAAGCGTGGTCTGGCATAGTCTCCAACTGAGAACACATAGAAGTAGGTAGCACTGGTGTTAACATTTTATTGTACAGGTCGGCTATGCCATTGTTTTCGCTATGTGAAATAATAAAGGCTTGTTCCATGGAAACAGTACAATGACATTCTTTTATTAAGTTTTTACTGAGCAACTGTAACCAACTACATTGTAATAATGGAAATTATTAGGATCCGTTTTAAAGGTGCCAGAAAGGTGATTAAATAAACATAATGTGAAATGTTGATTTTTCTCCTGAGTGCCCTACGTAACTGCTTGCTATTTTACTTAGGTATACTTGGTTTTTCCTTTTAGTAACTTTTTTTTTACTTTTACTAATCACCATGCAATAAAAACAATATAAGTGGCAACAGTGTAAATAGCGGTGTTCTCCTGTGATGTGCTTCATGCAACTATACTGTACATTAGAATGTCTTGTTTCTGGGTTGAACAATTCTCACATAGGAAAAAAAAACTCAAAGTCGCACGTAAGTATGCTGTTAAAAGGACCCTGAAAAATTCTTTGACATATTGGACCGGTAGACCATGGGTCTTAAGGGTCTTAACGGCTAATTTAAACTGGCTGCATAAACTCTGTAATTTATTAAAATGCTTCTAAGCTGCGTATCGCTGCGTATCGCTGCAGATCACTGCAGCTCAGCCAAACACGTTTTTAATGACCAATTAACAGTAGCACATCCACTGGAAGCACTACGTCACTCAGGCTGCCAATCTGATTGGGTGTGGAATGGGCGTAAGTAATATCGGCTGGTAGGATGACGCACCTGTCAGAGTAGATACCAACCAATTCAGGATATTCATCTTGCCAGATGGCGTGCACGCTGCTGGGCACACTCTGAGATTGTGCGCAACCTGTCGGCGTGCAATCTCTGAGGTCATGACTGGGCAAAGCTCAAATCGTTGAGTGCGCTCATGAAAGCTATGAGCACCAGCAATACGTGTCTCACAAGTAAATGAGGCAAGGCAGCGATGAGAAAGAGAGGATGATATAATTGTTCATAGTGGCCTTGGTACACTACATGTTGCCAAGCTCGCGCTGCAAATGGGTGCTTTTGTTTTTATTTTATTTATTTATTCAATACTGCGGACTCGTACTCCATGCAGGGTAGGTAATACAAAAGAAGCAGCAACGACACAACAGCAATAAAGGTGAATAATAATATTTTGCAGTCTAATCACATGTATCGGTAAGACAACTCCATTCACCAATAGTTCTTCGAAAATATGAATAATTAATTATGTCGGTGCTAGCAAAATATGAAGTTAAGGTGTTGGCGTAGTGGTGTCGGGAGGGCCTGCAAGCTAGGAGTGTCAAATATGGCAATGGATCTAGAGCTAGTTTTTTTGTTGCAAAGAAAAATTCTAATCTAGCTTTTTGCCTTCGTACCTGTAATAAGGGAATGTGATTTGCTTGCATTAAATCTGGAGGTGAGTCTAAAGGGAACAATTTCCTAAATATAAACCTTATAGCCTTTATTTGCGCTCTGAGTGTTAATATGGCACTTCGTGTAGGGGTGCCATTTTATGCATGCGTGCTCTAGTTTTGGGCGTACAAGGGCAGTGTAGCATAGCAGCTTAACATTTGTGAAAGCAGTTTTAGGTTTATGTTTAAGGAGACAAAGTTTGCAAAAGGCAGATGAACAAATATTATCAATTTGGATATTCCAAGGTAAATTTGAAGTCGGTGTCACAGCAAGGTACTTGCAAAAGTTTACTTGTTGCAGTGGTGAAGTATATGATAGCGGATTTTTTCGAGAAGTTACTGGAAGGCCGACACATTTGCTCGTGTTGAGATACATTCCCCATTTGTTACATCATTAATGTATAATGCACAGGCTAGTGTTATTGCTGTAATTATTATTGAACTAATTTCTTTGAACAAAACACAATGATCTACAAACAGTCTGATTTCTGCACTAATAATATCAGCAATATCATTATTATAAATAGAAAAAGCAAAGGGCCTAACACACTGCCCTGTGTTACGCCGGAGGTAACCAGAAGACAGTCTGAATGTTAACCCCCTACATCAACGTATTGTTTGTAGTTATTTAGATATGCAGAAATCAAAGAAACAAATATTTGTGGTATACCTATGGTTCTAAGTTTAAAAAGGAGTTTACTATGAGGAACTTTATCAAAAGTTTTACAGAAATCTAAGAAGAGCATGTCTATCCTGCTGTGTCTGTCAAGCGTTAATGCAAGAGAATGAAACATTGTTATGAGTTGAGTTGTTGAGTTATGGTTGATAAACTTTTTCCCAAAGCCATATTGACATTTCGTCAAAATCGAGCGCTCTTGCAGATAAGTGGTTATACTAGTAAGTATGATGTGTTCAATAACTTTGCAACATTTCAAAGTTAGTAGAATAGAACGGTAATTTCCTACAATTAAGTGGTCTCCCTTTTTAAAGATTGGCACTATTCAGACTGTTCTCCAATCATTGGGTAGTTGTGAAGATAGCAAAGAACAGAGAAAAATAACCAAACATTTTGCAATAGGTAAAGCATGTCAATGCAGGAATGAGGTTGGTATATTATCAGGACCGCACGACGCTTTAGTTTTCAAGTTTAGCAGCATAGATACCACACCGGGATAAGAAATAAGAAGTGCTTCGGCATATGAAAATGCTGTTGCGTTACTTACATAGCTTACATCGGAAGTGTTCAACACACACTGGAAATATCGATTAAAATGCCGGGCAATGTCTCCCTGATTCGTCTCGATGGTTCCATCAATTGATATTAGCAATACTGCTTTTCTTTTCACTGATAAAATTCCAGAATTTACAACGGTTGCTTTCAATTTTGGTAATGAAGTTTTAAAGTAATATTCTCTGGAACTGTGCACAGCTTGAGCAAGACTCTTTGCACATCGCATATCAAATTAGATGGTGCCTGTCTTTTTTTTTTTTTTTTTTGTCGCTTAACTTTTACCTTAATGTAAATAATGCTGCGAGTAATTCAAGGTGTTTGCTTGTTTACTTTTTGCGCTTGGATGACACAAAGCTATCCAAGCAGAAACAACACATTTCTTGGAATCGAGCCCAGAGTGCGCCAACATCTGCATCATCAAAATCGGCAAGGCATGTTTCCAGAACTATCTCTGCATCATTAGCGGATTTTACAGCTTGTTATTGGAACAGGAGGAAATGAAATTAACACAAAGTTATGATCAATGGTTTGATGATGCTGTAGCCTAAACGCTGCCAAAGTTTCAAAAAAATATTCCAGGGTTCTTTTATTAAGTTCACTGTGGAGTGGGTCGTCGTTGGGTCACGGCCTGTGCTTCTCATATGCAGCCACTATGTTATGAGCATGCATCTGCTTTCTTATGCAATAACTTCATCACAGATGAGTGGAGAGATATGATTCTTGTTGCAAGAGATAATAAATAACCAGAAGGATGTTTTTTTCCAGTGTTTGATGCCATGGACCCGCCGGTGAGCTATGGCGCATCTGGAAGATGTGCCAAGTGGCCCACCGATGGCTCACATCGCGCTTAAAATGAGACCTCAAGAAAGCATGCTGCAGTGAACATGTTAAGGAACATGTCACACCAGCAGATCAATAGAATATGAAAAGTTATTACACTATTATGTCTTCCATGCATGCTCAGTGTTGTTTCCCTATATGCAGTGTTGCATAAACGGTATCAGGTTTATAGATAAGGTGAAACTCCTCTCCGGTATTTGTGCCATCATGTGGGGGCTTCTTTATGTTCTTGTAATTGGATGACAGAGTTGGTCGGCAAGCAAAGCAGCAACTTCCATTAATCGCAAAAGTTACAAACAAAAACCGCTCACAGCACAGTTCAAGAATTGTCATGTTAAGCAACTAAGTTGTTTCAGAATTAAATGGGTATACTTTGATCAAGAAGGACACAACTTTTGAGTTTTACTAGACTTTTCTTTTAAAAGCATTGTACTGGATACAATCATTGCTGCAGTATCCTCTACCTCTATCTCAAATACTTCTTGCTCGAGTATCTGGTATCGCTTCCGGAACAGTTTCAATTAATCTTTGCCCAGCCCTGAGCAGAGTACAGTAAATGGTTCATTGTGTACATTTCTGGCAGCTAAAGCTTTCACTTGCAGTCGTGCTGCAAAAAAATATCTATTCACAGTCAAATGATCGACATTGTCATGAATATGTATGCACTGTATTTATTTAGGGTAACTCAGAGGCCCAAGAAAGAGCATTGCATTGTGTGCACGCTGGTGAAAAAGATATACACATGCAGAATTGCCAGTTCCGCTTATAATAAATGGACTTGGGCTTCTTTTTTTGCCGAGTCGCTTGTGGAATTTTCCAGTCATTCGTCGCATTTTGTAGGCTTATTTGCATTTTTTTAGTAAATGCAGTTACTGTAGCAGTCATCATGTTCACCAGCAGGCTGTTTGTTGTTAACTACTAGTGCATTTGTCAATGATGTCGAGTAACATTAATTACACACAGGCAAACTTGCATTCAACCGAATGAAAACTACCCCGGAAACTGGGTAGTTTTCAAATGTTAAAAAGTAAATATGTGCTTTTGTTCATAGTAGCACATATTTTCATAGTACAAAATAATTGGTGTTTCTTTTTAAACTACTCTTCGTATTTGGGTGTCAGCATCATAATAATTAAGGAGAGATGCTACTCGAAAAAACAAGTTTCTTTATTCTGTATCCCAGGGAAATAAACTTTACCCTGTATATATTCGCAACTTTCACCACCTATAGAGGGCACTAGTGCAAGCCCAACATGGTTGTCGTTTAGGGGATCGTGCAGATGGCGTGCCGGCAGCCGCCACCTGTGTGCCCGTCTTTTCGATCTGTGTAGAATTTTCGGCTGCAGCCACCATGTTGTCAAGGCTTTGCTGAGAAGGTCATTGACTCTAGCATGTATTATATCCCACACTGCGTGTTGAGAAACGTGTGTGCGGCGTATATTGAAGGAAAAGAAGTTTTGAACGCACATCGTATGCTGCAGTGTACAGCTTTGTGAATGCTGCTCGTGCCACAGCCGGGGAAGACCGAGCGGCCACGCTCGTGCAAAGCAGGAAACCTCGCCTTTGACTGCATGGCGTCTGCACAGCGGCATCCTACATATTTTGTGATTCTTTTAGCTCAGCAAGCAAACAAAGATTAAGTCGTTGCTACTACGACTGGCAGTAACTGTCTGACTTCACAACAAATGTAGAAGAAATTGCCAGCGACAAAATATAAAACACCAGCAAGCCGCCAAAGTGAGGCCGACTGAACGATGGCATGGGCTGGCTGCGTGGACATCCCCCAAACTACAGTTATAACGGATGCCGCATGGCGTCGCCACCATCTGTGAAAGTTGCAAATAGGCTTATATGCTCATTTCAAATTTGTGATCTGTTTTATAGCAAGTTGCACAGTTTTTTTTTTTTTTTTGTACCATGAGAATGTGTAAAGTATAGTTCTTTTTTGAACAGACTCTTTCTACCTCCAAGCTTTTATGGTTCTGAGCGAATAATGGCTTATATTGCTCCACAGTAACAGTAGAATGTAAATAACTATTAAGAAAGTGCATCTAAGCATTTTAATGACAAGAAACGCTCTGATGTGCAAAGTCTTGAAATGCTCAGCTTATACTAATTGCTTACTTTAGGTTCACAGTAATTATATAGTGTATATCGAGTTACTTGCTCTGTTCGCATGTAAGGAATATATAGGCTACATTTTATTCTGATCTGGCTATTCGAAGTACCGAAAATGATGTCCAAACTCAAGAAGTTGCCCAAAAATAGATTTTGAGAAAAACTCATTTTAAAAGTACAAGTGAGCACTTATCTATGCGGCAAAGATATGTTTTTAAAATGGTTTTCAGTACGAGCGCTTAGAAATCATGGTTATTTGGAGCATGTGGCTTAAGAGAAATGGTCATTTGAAATGCAATGGCAAGCAGCCAAGTAACAACTTAAAGGGGACTCTAGACAATGAGCTCTTTTTAGTTTTTATTAGCCACTTTGCACTTTTTAGAAGCTTTTATAACCTACTACAAGTTTAATACCAATCTTAAATTTTTTTGTCGTGAAAGTAGATTAACTAAACTTGTAAAAGCAAATAAAAATGAAAAATGTATAATTTTGGAAAAACTTGCTTTTTTAGACTCTCATCTCCCCCTAAAATGCTTTCAAGAATTGGAAAATTTATGAAATATCACTTCTTTTAGACTTATTCAGGAAAGTCGCGCTGCTTTTTTTGGCTTCTTTTGGCTCGACTATTTGCATGTTAGCTCAGTAGCACCTGGCAAATGTGGGCACATAATAGAGGAGCTTTAGCACATGTAAAGTAAATATGATGACAACATTTAAAATTGCATATCATGATATATTTTTGTTTGAAAAGTTGGTGATTATTGTGATAAAATGAAAAATGACCCCTTTTCTACCTCAAATTTCTGGCTACACAATTGGAAGATACCCCTTCTCTATTTAAAGATGTCACTGTTGAAGGGCCAGGCAGCATTTCACAGGTAAAACATGACAAGTTCCCTAAAAGAATCAACTGGGAAAGCATACGTGTTCATGAAGCTACAGATCACGTAAGGTTACAAGCAAATCATTGCGAAGAATAGAGTACATTAGGTCCTTTATATCTATAAACACAACTTGAATCACTAGAGTTAGAACCATTTGTGGTCTGGAACCTCTACCAACTTCCTATCTATCCTGGAACAAGACAAGTAAAAGAAGTATACTTTTATATATAGAGATGAGGCATAATGAAGTCAGAAAACAGGTGCCTGACTCAACCATGAAAGAACTTGTGGATTAGTACCTGACCATGGACTGCTGCAGTCGTGTTTCACTATTGGGAGGCACCCAGCAATGGACCCTGCAAAAGGCTAACCATTCGACAACATCCAAAAAGTTCTAGGTGCCAAACAGGCTCGAGGATAGATCATGCAATGCATGCTGCTGAAAGCCACCTGTAACCAGCATCTATGAGACGAAAGCCGAAAACCCGAAATGCGGCCTCTGGCTTGCGTGCCACAAAAGCTTTACTGTCTTCCTCTCACTCCCTTTACATCCAATAGGTCAGGGGTCAGCAACACTTTGAGGAAGTAGGCAAAGTTGCAGGACACTGAGAGAACTGGGGGCAGCACAGTAAATTGGAGGGCAGGGCACTTTGCAGGCAAAGCGTAAAAATTCAGCAAATTAAAATAATTTGCAAACTGAGTTATAAGTCATGTTTATTTTCAGCTCGTACATCACAAAGCTGTAGTCAAACACAGCTTGCAAGCGAGAATCCCATTCTGGGCCATGTCACCAATCAGGTAGGAAATAACAAGAGAGATAAGGGGGGGTGTTGAAGTCATGCTAGGGGCAGACTCCTGCAATATGCGATCACCCTCAGCATGACGGAGTCGCATTCTCCCCAGGTTTAAATGAACTGGCTCTTTTACTCAGTGGGTCAATGAAACTTCACTCTCATTATCCTCCCTTTACAGTAGGGTCACTGAGACAGATCCACATAATGAACTTTTTACTATGTATTCGATACCAAATACGACCGAATACGCTAGTGCAAAAGACTACTTAGGACGGGTAATAACCGCGGAGCCGAACCATGAGAATGAAGTAACTAGAAGAATGAGAATGGGGTGGAGCACATTTGTCAAGCACTCTTAAATTATGACTGGTAGATTGCCACTATCCCTCAAAAAGAAGGCATATAACAGCTGTATTTTGCTGGTGCTTAGCTATGGAGCAGAAACATAGACTTACAAAGAGGGTTCAGCTTAAATTGAGGACGACGCAGCGAGCAATGGAAAGGAAAATGATAGGTGTAACCTTAAGGGACAAGAAGAGAGCAGAGCGGATCGGGGAACAAACCGGCGTTAAGGATATCACAGTTGAAATCATGAAGAAGAAATGGACTTGGGCCGGGCATGTAGCGCATAGGCAGTATAACCGCTGCTCATTAAGGATAACTGACTAGATTCCCAGAGAAGGCAAGCGTGCGAGGGGGAGACAGAAAGTTAGGTGGGCAGATGAGATTAAGAAGTTTGTGGGTATAAAGTGGCAGCAGCAAGCACAGGACCGAGTTGACTAGTGGAACATGGGAGAGGCCTTTGTCCTGCAGTGGACGTAGTCAGGCTGATAATGATGGTGAGACTTCAATCTCATCTCTGCTCTCAAGCTGTGAACATACATAGAATATTTTTCTCACTTTTTTATGCTGTTTCTTTTTCAGTGTATTAGTTTCACTGTATTATTCAAAAAATTTTACCAGCTGGGATGCTCCTTAAACACAGGTGTTTTTTGCAATTCAATCCCATTGAATCGACCCTGCGTCTTAGCAGTACACCTTATCCAATAAGCTACCACATGTAATGAAACTAATGAACTCTTGTATGCTACAAAGTACTAAAAACAGCTATTTGGTACACTTCATCTTTTGAGTACAGCAGCAGGCTAGTAGGGCACTGTGACATTGTAACATAAATTGGTTGTCTGAGAAGGACAAAAAAAGGCAAGATTTATTTGTAAAAAAAAAAGAGAGAGGCACAGCTAGGTTGCCATAAAGGTGTTGCATTGGTATACATCAGAAACAAATATTAATGTGGCCAGGGACAAGAACTTAAGTATTGTTGAGCACAGTCACATAAATTGCAGCATGTCAAGGAGCAGCAGAGACTCGGTCTTTTTGTTCATGACGAGGGAGTGGGCTGCAATGTGCTTAAGCGCATTGCAGGCCACTTCATGTGAATAAGTTGGGAAAGTTTCAGAAAACCTAGGTGTGATGTTAATGGTGTGTTGGAATGCATACTGAACAAATAATTTCAGACTGGAAATACTTGTAATCTGCTTGAATAAGCAAAGGCTTGGGAAAGTTCGAGCTTCTGATTATACGTCTTTTACATCCTTGAATATAAAACTGTCTATGAACTGTGACGCACATCCACTATGGGGAATTTCAATATGGTTCCAAGACTTCCCTCTTTTCCTTTCACTGGTCCCCTCACATAGGTTTCATGCCACCTCACCTAAAGATAAACTAGCACTATCTCTCTACAGGACAAGTTTGCATAGTTGGCCAGTCACTGGTCTAGTTTCAGTTTATTTGCTTCCAGGTAAAACATAGATGCTTACATATGCATACAGGGGGATTTCAATAGTTCTTGCATGAATTGCAGTTGGAAGCCAATGTATGACTTTCATTTATTATTCTTATGACTTGTTAAAGCTGAGTAGTAGTAGCCCAATGCAGAAAGCTGACAGTTTTCTTCAAGATGGGTTGTTCATAGATGCTAATGCATACTCTTGCAAGTTACTCGGTAACAGTTGTCAAATAGGGTGTTTTTTGCAAGGCTGATAGTTGCTTTTCTTAGCATACACCCAGTATTGATTAGCAGGATTATTCATGAATTATGTCCTGATATCAACATGCAACCAATAGTTATACTTAATTTACCACAAATCTTTGTGGCATCCATGGGCTGATGCATTAGTGCTCCACACATAGTCATTTTATCTTGAAGTATATGGCTACAGCAAATATTAATATACTGGAGATACATAACTTGAAGGTTACAGCATCTGAACCTCTTTTGCTGATTTAGGTGGGTTCCATCCAACACCAGGAAAACACTTGTTGCAGAACTAGAATGAAAGGGCTTCGCGAATATAGCTTTACTGCACTGCGGCAAACGTAGAGCTATAATTGATGTCAAGGAAACCGTGATCGTTATCCGCGCCAAAGAATGATGCCGAAGGACACTGGGCGACATTGAGACTCCTCATAACATTAAGGAATTATACAACATTTAAAATAACGCTAGTGAGAACACAGCGAGCACTTTAGTGCTTAGCTCACACTTGCAAAAGAAAGCACGTTTAGGTACTGAGCACGACCTTTCAACAATCTGTGCACAAACGCCGGTAAGGTTTGCAGGCACGTGAGGCTTGCCACGCTGTTACCATCTCTTTAAAACTTGCACAAAGCAAGAGTCCACACTTCGCAGCTTTTTAGTTCGAAAGCAGTCCGGCAACGCGATGTCCCGATGCGGTGCGGTCAACCGTAACTTGCGCACCATCCTGCAACCTTTTTTTTTTTGCTTTTTTTTTTCTTTCGTTTAGGCACTGCCCCGGCGACGACGCTCGCTGTGACCACCACCCAACTCTTAGCGCCATTCCGTTCTCTTGTTCGCTGTAGCAGCGGACCGCTGTGTTCGGTTATTTGGCCAGAGAATTTGTTGAGTTTGAAGCCTGTTGAAGCCGCTCGAAGAAATAGCGGAGATAAGTGAAAAGGAAGCGGACATGGGGTTGTGAAGGGGGGAGGTTGTTCTGTGGGGAGGTGCTGCTGTGTTCTCGCTAAATCTCGCCGGCAGCGACATTCCAGCGCCACTGCGCGGGGAGCTGAAATTCTGTCTTTCACCTCTTGTAATTTATAAACTTATCGATTGGAGAGATTTTTCCATTGGTGAGTGAATACGTGTTGTTCGTTATTCACAAGTAAACCGCGCGTGCACCAAGAGCTCTTACAACGAGTGCCCCCAGTTGTGCTTCGCGCGCTCCAAGACGGTCAAGTGGAAGCTGTCACCCTTCATACTGTTAGGTGTTGTGATGAATGAGAACATGCTTTCGGACTGCGATGTTCCGCAGCAAAACGATGGTCTGCCCAGTAAGCGTGGACGCATCGGTCGTAGAGACTGGCTGTGGGGCCACGTTGCTTGAAATGCTTGCAAGCAGAGTAAGCGGAGTGCTGCAGTGCGAGATGGACTTGCGCCGCGAGGGTCGTGCTCCATTGTAGCAACAGCGTCCGAGTGGCCGCGCGCGCGCGCGCTCCCGCGCCCGCCTGTGCTGGCCGCCGTCATGATGGCTTGCCCGAAAGTGATCCTGGCCAAAAGTACTGCAGCCGTCGGGGGTCTGCCCGCAGGCGGCCCACTGGGGCAGCCGGCGGCTATGGCCTTGCACACGTCTGCTTTCTGTCCCATCAACAACGTCGACTTGAATAGAGTGGTCGCGCCGCCGCTGGCCAACTACACCATGTCCTATGTGCAGCCTGCTCTGTTCAGCAGTACTTCGAGCTATCCAAGCAAGTACGACGTGTTCCAAGTCCCAGGAGGCACACTCGTGGTCCCACGAAGTGCAGATCTCACGAGTTACCTGGCACCGCCGCCTCCACCACAGCAGCTCTTCTACTCGCCGCTGTCCTTGCAACCACAACCCTCGCACTATGCATTCTTGAGCAACACGGCTGTGCAGGCGCCGCCGTTGGTGCCCTTCAGCTTGCAGCCGCCCGAACAACCAACATTCCCATCGTTTGTGAACAACGCTTTTGTGTCTAATACGAACTACGTAAGTCCTCCGGAGCCGCTCCCATCATACGGTTCGGCGCCTTCTAGCGACCTCTTCCTTACGAGTGGAACTCAGTTTCTACAGCAGCCAGAGCTATTTCCTAAAGTCTACCCAGTGCTGGAAACCAAGCAGGAACCACCTGAGCCAGTCAGCTATGCAGCACCACCAACAACGCCTTTTGAGAGCTTCCATGGGGATACCAGCACAAGCCCGGTGCCATTCTCGACCAGTGGACCATACACTAGCCCAAAGTCACTGCCGTTCCCCAAGACAGGCCTTCCCGCACCTCGACCTATCTTGGCACGTGCTAAGGAGGCCGCCACCCCGGTAGCGCCAGTGCCATCGTTACCAGCAACAGGGTTACTGTCGCCGCCGAGGCCCCTGCAAAGAACGTTTGAACCCGATGCAAGGTTTTCGTTGAGTACTCTAAGGGCAGAGCCTGAACTACCGCTCTGCCATGGTGAGGAGACGCGACTGTGTTTCGGTTCCCCACCGTTGTCTGCTTCCTCTCTGTCCAGCTTGGACAACACTAGCACTGCGGACACTGCCCGGGTCACACTCACCGACTCGTCCAGCACCATTGAGTTTCCCCCTGTGGAAGTTAGTTTGCCCGAAGATTCTTTGCGCCCCTCCCTTCCCACAACACCCGTCCCAGTGTCAATACTTACCACACCACCACCGTCAACAGCACCACAAGACCTTGCGGTGGACAAAGTGCATGATGTGTATGCCTTTGAAGTTAATTCAGATGAAGAAAGTGGAGTACCAAAGTTCAAGTTTCAAAAGAGACATGAGGTGGCCAAGTACTGTTATGCCGGCAGTGCTCGCACACAGCCTTTCAGACGCCGCGGCAGTTATGATCTGTTTGACTTTTTGGCATCAGTGCATCGCAAGGCGCCAACACCAGAGCTTCACTGCAAGGATGAAGAAACCGATGAGTGTATCCAGAGACGTCGAAGCATACAGGATAAGGAACTAGCTACAATAATCAGCTTCCACTGCCTTAAAGACAGTGCCAAGGCCACAGTGGGTGTTTACCGTTCATTGATCCATGGACGAGGGCTTTACTCCAAACGGGACATTGACGCTGGAGAAATGGTGATTGAATATGCAGGACAGGTAATCAGGTCAGTATTGACAGACAAACGAGAACGTCTGTATGAGAGCAGAGGCATCGGCTGTTATATGTTTCGCATTGATGAGGACCAAGTAGTGGATGCCACAACCCATGGCAATGCTGCCCGTTTCATTAATCACTCCTGTGACCCCAACTGTTACTCCAAAGTGATTTCAGTGTTTGGTCAGAAGCACATCATCATATATGCACTACGAAAAATTCACAAGGGTGAGGAACTGACTTATGACTACAAATTTCCAAAGGAAGACGTGAAGATTCCCTGTTCATGTGGTGCCCGCCGTTGCCGCAAGTTCCTCAACTGACCAAGGTGCCTTCTCCTATGTGCCCGTGTGACCATTCCTCTTGTATATATCGCTTCCATGTCAGTAAAACTTCTTCAAATATGGTTATTAGAATTGCTTTACTTTTATAGACGTTCACCTCCCAAAGGATGAAACCACTGATTTTACATAAGGTCTGCTGAAAATATGTTTTATGTAAAACAGGTGAATTTATGTATTTCGTGGCAGTCAATAACAGATGTTATAGGTACTGTATGCTACTGCCACTACTAGTGGAGATCACTGGCTTCAAGCTTGTGATGCTCTGCAAGGTAAGGAAAAAAACCAAGAGACAACACAGAGTGATGCGCAAACTAATGACCACTTTAATGGCTACTGCTAGATGGCTCCCTGCAGCTTTAGTGCAAGTCGGGGTAAACAATGCCTCGCACTTTATTGCTATTATTGAGCAATGTATTTTCACATGTGTAATATGACTTTCATTCGATCTATGTTAAGTTCAAGAAATTCCTCTTTTTGCAACAAACCATAGTAACACACTTTGTAGCGCCGACACCTGCCACATGGCGCGCTACTAGCCACTCTACTGCAGAGAATATTTCTCACCACTAGAGCACACTCTAGCACGATTCAGCGCGCTAGTGCCTCCTCATCACACTAGCCTCTCTATTTGTTGTAGCTGTGTGCGCTTGTAGCCATGGAGAGCGAAATGAGGTTGTAAACAAGTAGTGTTGTAGCCCGTGTACTGTGCACCGTGCACGCCCATCATGTGCCATGGCTGCTGTTGATGATTTGAAAGCAGTCGGAGTTATAGGTAAGTCAGAACATGCTATTCACTCCGGTGTTCATCGCTACACATTTAGCCGTACGGTTGAAATTTTAACTTCATGTCTGCGGTTACCGGTACCAAGGGCTTTGGAAACATGCGGTACCGCATGTTTCCAATGTTCGCTAGTCCAGAAAACTACTTTGCGATTGGCTGAGATCGTACACATGTTTCATTCGTGCGTCTCCTTCCAAGACCTTCGTTTCTCGTCTTGCTGCTTCCAGAGAAAGACACCAATAACGATGTGTTGTGGACGTGGTCTTACCCGTCATTCACGCTGGAAGATCGTTCCCTGCTTCTGGCAAAATGTGACTTGGAAAACGATAACATGTCAAGTGAACGGCCAGTATGGTTCCGGTACTGTCACCACCACAGGGATTGGTTTTACATGTACCAGACAGAAGTTTTTGACAGCGATAACTTGAGCCGAGTAAGTGCGTCTAGTTAAAATATACTTGAGGTTTTGCATCTAAGGAGCGTTCATTGCTCGTAGGTGAAACTCTTCGTCCTTGTGTTGCACGCCAAAGACTTCAGCCCCGAGAAGTACGAGACACTATCGAGAATACTCAGCAAAGTGTACTGCAAGACCGGAGACCCTACAGCGCTGCTGCGGCTTTTTCTGTCTGTGTCCGTCAAGGGCTCGTGTACGACCGAAGAAAACGGAACTTTTCTGTTGAGCAACTACGATCGAAAACGCAGCCTTACGCAGGTGCCAATCAAAGGTGGGATGCATCAGAATTTGTGTTGCAGCGGCTTTCAACAATAACCACCAATGCCTTTTCTGCTGTAGATATCATAAAAATGTTTGGTCTGGAGACGATAATCATCTACACTGCAATCATCCTGAAGAAGAGGGTGATTGTCTACCACCACAAACTCAACGTTTTGCTAAACTACGTCAGGTGAGTGCAAAGCTTTCGCTAGGCGATTTATACAACTTTAATTCCAAGCATACTCGCGCACGTTTCTAAAGAGAAACGGCTGTGAACCTTAGCCATTTGTGGAAACTTGATGGCCATCAGAACTTGCACTTCTTAGAAATGTAAATAACAAATTTTGTGTGCACAGTTTGTGGAGTAGTCCTAGCTAGAAAATAATGAAAGGCAGACTTGTGTGCAAAAGAAAATTTTTTTTTTTTTGTAATGTCAGCTAGACAGAAGCCATAAAGTACACTACCAGCTCACCGATTTATTTGCTTTTCTCCAGTATTCTTCAACATTGCTCAGAGAAACATGCAGGTCCAGTGCAAAATGTATACTTTACATATATAAGCAACCATGCCTCTCATCCTCCTTTTCTTTTTTTCTCTCAACCCGTGCTTGTTTTTTTTTCAACTGTGAAAGCAGTAGTCTCTGTAATGTGCTGGTGTTTTGTGGCCGTTTTTGTTTACGGTGGAGCCCTATGTGGACTATATCGCACGGCTGTCATGGGGTCTTTTGTGCAGATTGCGCACTTGGTCCAGTTGTGACCGAGAAGTTAAATCCTAGTTGGATTCTTGTGCAATCAGAAGTGCACCGACCGACAGCCTTGTTGAATTATGATGCGACATGCATTGTGACATTGTTTGACAGCTTCCAAATCTCCAGAATTTTTCATAACCTTTACGTTTACGTAACTTTTACAGAACTGCAGCTGTTGTGGAAGGTTTTATAAAAAATAAGCTCTGTTCATACACACACACAAAAATGTAGTAAGAGTATTATGGTGGGGCAAGGTTGCAAACATACATGCTAGAAAAATTGGGAAGGTGCACGTGTGTTTCTTGTCGATTTCTGAGGTTCATATTTGCTGCAGCTTGTGCATGTAAAGATAATTCATTACAAATGAAGCGCATATGTATTCCACTAAATATCGGTAAACTTCAAAAATAGCAACGGTAACTAAAGTTATAGTGCTATCACTATTTTTTTGTGTCATGTGCATGGTATTCCTAACAACTTTGAAGTTTACTGGTTGACAGAAATGCTGTGGTGACAAAGTGGTGAAAAAGATTAGATGTATATAGGGAAAAAGCAGAAATTGGTATGGCAGAGTGTTTTTACGATAGACAAGACTCCTTGGCAAAAAATTTAACACTTCGTAAATTCCGAAGTGTGTTTGGCAAATTCTGTGCCCATTGAGACAGGGTCAATCAGAATAGAACAAGATGCGGGCATCTTCGTTCTTGCATGAGTGAGCGGATTGTGGCCAGGCTTCAGGGGAGATGCGTGTGCATGGGAACCATACGACCGACTTGACTGCTGCAACGAGACGTCTGACGATGGAGCGTTGCCGTGCAATCCGGCGTGCCATCGTGTGATTGCTGAGAGAGTGTAAGGGAAAGACAGCCTTAATACATTCACTACTCAAGTATATTGTGCAGATGATTAACCAGCAAAGCGTTAATGTGCAGCCCTGGTGCTTATCACAGGCTATGATCTGTCAAAGTGCCTTCTGTTGTAGCTTTTTTTTCGATCATGATCGTTAAGAAATGTGTGCTTCATGCTTTGTATTTAGTGGCATTTGCTTAAAAGATGTCAAGCACACATAAAGGCTTTTTAGGGATGGTGCTTCATGTTGCAGTTGGTATCATCTCAAGCTATATGTGCTGACAAAGCCTAAAGAAAAGCTAGTGCAAGTGCCGATACTCTTTAAGGTAGGGTGTGCTAGCATCCAGAGCACGGTTGAACGCAGCAAATCGCCGCGAGTGTGAGACATTAAAGGCTTAAAAATACCATTGGGATGCTTAACCTGTTCAGTTACAGTCGCATGCTATATCAGCTGCAGCATTCTACCCAAGTCGGAAGTGGCGTGAACTAAGCACTGTTGTTAATGTTGGCATCCTGTAAGCCCATTTAAGGGAGATGAGAGTTGGACACAAGTTTTTTTCTTAATTACATATTTTTTGGTTTTATTTGCTTCCACAAGTTTAGTTCCTCTACTTTCATGGCAAAGAAACTGAAGATTGTAATTAAACTCGAAGTAGGTTAAAATAGCTTTTATTGACGAGCACAAGCTGGCTACCAAAAACTATAGATTGTCTATAGTCCCCTGGAAATTGTAACCTGGCTGCTTGCCATTGCGTTTTGCATGAGGGGTTCACTAAAGCTACATGCCCACAATAACTATGATTCCCAAGCTCTATGGAAGAACTCATTTAAAAAAAAAAAAAACATCCTTTTTGCATAGGGGAGCTTTCACCTAAATGTGTTTTTCTCAAGATCATTTTTTGGGCAAATTCTTAAGTATGGACATCATGTTTATGGTACTTCTCATAGCCCAATCGAGATGAAGTTTTGCCCACCTATACCTTAACATGTGAAGGGTGCAAGTATCTTTATAACTTGGTATTGTCTGTATGATTTTTATGCACCTAAAGGAACCAATTAGTACGGGCTGAAAATTCTAAGAATTTTCATATTGCAATTTTTCTTGATCATCAAAATTTTCTATGTGCACTTTCATGATAGGTATTAGCATTTTACAGTTAATGTGGAACAACATGAGCCATTATAGGCTCAGAACCGTAAGGTTTGCCCAAAACGAACTATACACATCATTATAGCACAAAACAAACTGTGCAACTTACTATAAAACTAATTACATATTTGAAGTCAACATAAAAGCCTATATACAGGAAAAATATCATTGCCCTAGACTACAGATAAACAATTTTTTTTCTGGATTGCATCTCCCCTCAATGTTTTGCCAGTGTTATTGTCCAGGCTTGGGACCTTTTCAGCCTCTGGGACTGCCTTGCAGCTCATATTGAATGCAACTGTAGATTGATAGTTATATTGTGGTAGCAATAGGTTTTAAGGAGGAAAGCTATTTTTAGGTTAATAGTATGCTTTGTAAAGCACGTTTCCTCACTTTCTTGGAATTCTGTTTGTAATCAGTTTTAGAGTCCTGTCACAAGCCTGGCTTCTGCATAGAACTTGAATGGTAGGTCAAGATTTTATTCATGTCAGGCAGAGGTAGGACACAAGTTGCACTTTTGAAATGGAATGTGTAACATTTTTTTAAAGGAATATTATATCTCTTTATTTCCAGGGCTTTTACTGCTCTCAGCGCGCACAAACCACAGTGGGAGTATTTCTTTCCTTTTATGGAGCTGACTCCTGCTGAAATGGCTGAGCTGTCGGAGATGCCACATTACTTGGCAGGGTTTCGTGATGCCAGTGTTGAAGGCCGCTTAGAACTGTACGATGTCTTCGTCAACTTGGCTGCTATTGAAATTACTGTGGCACCACATTCAAAAGGTACGTCATATGCAGAAACTGCCAATTGGCCTTCTCTTACAGCAACATTTTTCAAGTATTTTCACTTTACCAACTTGTACGATGGCCTTCCTCTAATCATCTGTCATTACTGTTGTCTTCTATAGAGGCCTTCCAGATGAGTAAGATGCACAAAGAAATTGCTATGTTCATGGTGCGACAGGCAGATAATGATAATTTATCTGACCAGAATGTTGTGCAGGTAAGTAACTTTATTTATGCATGCATGCATGTACTACAAAAGACCAGAAGCTTAGCACTTATCTTAAATTTATTCATAATTAAATAATTCATGTAAACTTATCTTGGCATACTCACCTTTATTTAGAGTGTTGTGGGTGGCCAGTTCTTGTGCACTCATCAAACTGTTTATTCATTGGTCTATGCAAATTTACAGACATATTAGGTGGTGGCTTGGGTGAGTTCATAATTTATTGCATACACAGTGTGTCCCTGCTCAATTGGGCCAAGCAAACTAAAAAAAAACTGCAAGATGTGAATATGTAGCCAACAGCATTTTGTTTGTAGTAGCACTGGGCATACTAATCAATTGTTTGTAAGTTCTTAGTTGATTAGCAAAAATTAATTGCCTATGTAAAGAATTACTGCTATAAGTGGGAAAAGTTGGATGTCTAATTCTGCATTGCATTCAAAACACCAGGACAAATAATTTATGGCCTGCCACATCATTCCTGATTACTTCAGCTTTTCAAATATGTGAAGAAAAAGGCAACGAATGACGCGATAAAAGAGCATGCCCCGTCTGTTGTACACGCTACACTGGCACGCCTGAAAGGGGTGTGAAAAAACTAGGGCTGCTTATCAGCTGCCTTGATTAGTATTAAAAAGTCATTAGGCAGTGGCATCCTTGATGGCTGCTTGTATGAGCAGCCAATAAGGACAGCGCTCCTTTGTCACTTTGTTGTGCCAGTCAAGCCAACCATCAAGGACTACTGGTTTTTTTAAACATCTTCTGAGAAAATTGAAGGTGTGTGCTCCATGTACATATTTCTTTGCCTTTCATACCACAAGTTTTAAACGCAGAAAAAATAACTAGTAAGGGGTCTGCAAACATTTGAAAATTTCGAATAATAAATTAAATAGCATTGTATTCAATTCGGTACTCGAATTCAATAGTACATATTTGAAAATTTTCAAAATACCGAATACTTTTCTAATAGTTTCCGAATTATCAGCACCAAGGGGAGAACCCCAAAACAAACAAAGCCTTGGAACAGCTACAGACTATTTTTCTTCTTTTAATTTCTAAAGTGACCTGCCCACAGTCCAAAATTTTATGAGACTACCGATGCTATATTGATTGCTGGTTAAACATGTTTTTTTTTCCTTTAAACTCGTGTCTTGCTCACTTTTTACTGTGCCGTAGCTGTATCGCAAGAATCGGCTCCTGCTTAAATTTTTTAACAACTGAAGGGGGAGCTACAACTGCATGCAGCTTCATGACTAACCAATGCAAGTGTTGTGTTGTCGTAAATTGTCCTTGCAGATGTAGATTTCAACATTGATGCTTAGATGCCTATGGTGTGCAGGGCATGTTGTGATGACAGGTTGATCTGTTTTTGTTAAATATAGCAATATGGTGTATGACCGAAAATTGTTTAGTTTTTGTGTCCCAGGTTTACTCAAGCTAAGGCGACAACAGTTATGGGCAGTAAAAGGGGCCCACGAGACAGCAGAGAGACTTGGTCTTTCTGTTCTGACGTGGTAGCAGCCCGTAACGTGTTAAAGGGCATTCCAATGGGATGCGCTTTAACACGTTACGTGTTAAAGCGCATCCCGTGTTAAAGCGTAACACGCTATGTGTTACGATACATCCATCTATCTATCCATCCATCCATCCATCAGGTGACAGTCTGACATTGATGATGTTAGTGAATGCTGTATTTAAACCTACAGTTACAAAATACAGATAAACTTGGATATAATAAAATTGACCAATTCCCGAAAAAATTCATTAAAAAAATTTCACTAATGCAAGTTTGGTACGAAAATTCAAAAAGTAAATGCACAAATTAAACAAACAGGGAACTGAAGGCAAAGCTCACTTAAAAATTACTTAGCCGTAAAAAACTGCATTATTCAATTATATTTATACTCTTGAGGAGTTTTCGGCGTGAGCGCTGCTCAAGCAGAGATCACATGAGCCTGGCCATTTCTATCTCCAGAAGGGCGCATACATGCCCCCGCGTGTTAGAACTGCCGTCGAATGCTCAAACAGAAAGGAAACCAGCCCCGCCGGGGTGGTTTAGTGGCTAAGGTACTCGTCTGCTGACCCACAGGTCAGGGGATCGAATCCCATCTGCGGCGGCTAAATTGTCGATGGAGGCGAAATGCTGTAGGCTCGTGTGCTCAGATTTGGGTGCACGCTAAAAAACCCCTGTTGGTCGAAATTTCCGGAGCCCTCCTCTACAGTGTTTCTCAAAATCATATGGTGGTTTTGGGACGTTAAACCCCACATATCAATCATCATTAGAAAGGAAACCACCCGCATTTAACGGGCATGAAAAAACGCGGAAAGGGGAAGGGGGTCGTTGGAGTAGCAACAGTGAACTTTGATTCTAAGGGCACGATCGCGATTGCTGGTGCGCATACTATCTCGGCAAGCATCAGTGCGCTTTCAACGCGAAGAGACTGTGTAAAAGGAGCACTTTCTCCTTGAGCAGCTGTATTTGCTTACACCACGGCGTTTTGTAGGAGTTACACGATATCTGATCCAAAATAGTTGGTTCCTAGCCTTACTTTGTATAACATTACAATTTGTTGTAAGGATGGCCGAATAAATCATTAATCGAATTAGCTTTTAATAAATTAGTTGCTTTCTGTGTGATGTTTTAGTTGATCAATCAACATTTTTATAGGTGATTTCAACAGCATATCTCATTGCTTGAGAAACATTGTGTGTGTGAAAATGGAAGCTTGAATGAGTTGGGATATGTGTTTATCTTAGTTGATACCGCGCACACGAGAAGAGGACAAAGAATAAGAAACATACTGGCCTCGAAGCCTGCCTACTCCAGCGCACCTGTCAAGTGTATTTTATTCTTCGTCGTCCTCTGGCGTGCGCTGTATTAATTGAAATAAACGCATTGTTTGTTTCATCTCAAGTCTTTCTATCAGATGTGCTAGAGATCATATGTGCACATTTACGCCTTCATGAAAATTGCTACTTTCACCCAGTGGATACAGGTGAACCATCATGTATGGGTGAAGTCACAGAATGAAGGATCTTTGGCCATTATCTATGGGTGATTCGGTAGCAGGTCGTATTTACTCGAAACCTGCATCTTTGAGCACACTGAAATGGGAGGAGTTTTCAGTGACCACACTGGTTGAAATTATTACTATTATTATTACTTGATTTGCATATGTAGATACACAACAATCAAACGATAAGATGGATTGAATACTTATATAGAAACATGCAGCTGGGGGATGGTTAGGAAATGCCGCGAAAGGCAAAGCAGAGACGAGGAGGCAGAGGAAGTTGATAAGACGCTCGCACTGCATGCATGTATGTTCGCCCAGTGCTTGTATTCGGGTGCATCTGATACGCTAGAACTCCTGTTTATAAGCTTCGTCATTCTTGTAGTCCCCCAGAACAAGCCTTGAAATTATGGGTAGGTCTTCCACACTTGTGGCAACCAAGGTCTTGTATATGGAAGATAGGCTTCCTTAATTTGCTATCCAGTTTAAATTGTTAGCAGTTTAGTGATTTATAAGGCTGTATGAATCTCCCTTAGGCGTTCAGAAACAGTTTTTATGGCCCATTTAGTGGCTATAAAAACTTTTTGGAGCATTTAATATGCTTTAAGTTTTAGTTTTACAAAGCCTTCTTGAAAAAATAAACGTTCAAATTAATAACCTGTGCCCAATAAGCAATAGCAACAACTCTATTAAAAGAGGGTTTGATGATATCTTTTTAACAATGTAAAACTAATGTCGGTCCACTTATTAAATGCTATATCAACGATTACCTGCAACATACGCCGATGAAGACAGCCATTGGGATGGATGCTTCACTAAGTGAAGAAGAATGTGGAATCGAAATTTTTGGGAAATATTTTGGGAATTAGGGGGGGAAATTCCAATTCCACATTTTTCCTCCTGCTCCAGATTGGTTGTTTTCGCTTCGCCATCCAAATTTTCTGCCCATCTTTATAGGAAAATTTTTAGCAATCATAGCAGCATCAATAAGCTCAAGAATAATTTTGACCGATTTGCTATCGGTATGTTCAGCCCTCATTCGGACATTTTGAGTGCTTTCAAATTATTGGTTCCACTACGCATAAATTTAATCAAGTTAGTTTGGGTTCCAGAGTACAAGGGCCACAAACACACGCACGAGCATACTATAGGTATGGTTCAACCCTGAAGTAGCAAATTGGGCTAGTTGGAACATACTCATCACGATCAGTGCACAAAAAGGACAAGAAACACAAGAAAGTGCACAACACAAGCGCTTGTGTCGTGGTTCACCCCCACCCCTGACCTTTGCGTCAGCAGCTGAGCACTGTAACCACTGATCTTCCATGGCCGACCAGAGAGTTAAATAAATAAAATACCTAAAAAGGTGTAAGGTGTCATAGACACAGCAGGCCAAGAAGTTCGCTTGTTATCCAAGGCAAGGAGAGCGGAGTTTGTGCGATGAAATATGATGAAACGTTGCGGAGCCGAAAATGAACAGAGAGAAAATAAGTAACTAGACAATGCGCTTGCACGTCTGAAATGTAGAGAGAACAAACATCTCTGTTGAACATTGACACATTGTCTTGCTGCTTTCTCTCGATGAAGTGAATGCCCACGCTAGAAACTTGGGTGAAGGCTTGGACAAAGTGCTTGATTGGGTTGGTTGGTGCTGCATGGTAGATGAAAAAAGTGCTTAACAGCGCAAACAACAGGAGGGGATAGAAGAGATGAGAACAAAGCGCTGAACTAACAACCCAAGTTTATTCGAAACCAACTGCAATATATAGGAAAACAGAATCTGCGCATAACCACGCAACATAAGCAAAATTGCACATACATGCACGAAATGACCCCAAATTGCACGTACATGTACGAAATGACCCCAGATAATTAATTTCACACCCACGAAGAAAAATCGAGGGTATGCTAACACAGGAAGCACCAAGTTGTTAAATGTGGAAGGCTTTGCTAATCTCACGCTCGCGCTTATTTTTATATTGCATCATGATCACACACTTGTCAAGAATTGGCTGACAACCACACTTTTTACAATGGTCCACCAGGGAACGGAGCCTTTTAGAGAGTAAGGGTGCTTCCTCAACCGATCATTTATGCATCGGCCTGTTTGGCCAATGTAACAGAACCCACAAGTGAGTAATATCTTGTATACAATCGCTAAAACACATTCAGCATAGCACGTAGCGTGTTTCTTAGTGCACACTTCTTTCTGAGGTCCTTCGCTGTTGACCCTGCAACATAGCCCAGCAAGCTTGTCGCGTGCGCAGAGCACAACTCTTACACCTGTTTTGCCAGCGACCTTCTTTAGCCTATGGGAAACCTCGTGTACGTAGGGAATAACAGCCGTGCTAGAATGAGGCTTGTTGAGTTGGCTGTTGCTTTGTTTCTTATCAGGCACTCTTAGAGACATTATGAGAGTCTCGGCTATAGAAGTTAGCAGGGGATTAGGAAAGCCAGGTTGTTGAAGGCGGTGAACTTCTTGCGAAGAACTTCATTCTATCTGGTGGTGACAAGAGCGAGTTAGAGCTGCCTTTAGGCAGGAAAAAGCGATGCTTCGCTTGACTAGCTTAGAATGGGTGGATGTAAAAGGAAGAAGGCTTTTCTTTGAGCGTGGCTTGTACCGCCAACAGACATGGTCCACCAAAAAAAGCATTTCTAAGTCTAGAAATCGTAGCTTGTCATCATAAATAAGCTCTGATGTTAGTTCTAGTTGCTTCATTTCACATCAAAATACGTGAAATATCTCTCCGGTAATTCGCCGAAGGTCAGATTGATCAATGCGTAAAACACTAAAAAGTCGTCAACGTATCGGAACACTTTAACTTTGCTTGTCTGATGAAGGTTAGCCATGAGACTTCTGTCATACCGCGCGAGTAAAAGGTCACTAAGAACCGGAGCTAAACAGGAGCCAATGCACACTCCTTCCCGCTGAGTGTAGAAGGTTTCCTTGTGAAGTACAAAAGTCGAATGTAGATAAAAGCGCAGTAGTTCCAAAAACATGTGAACATGAATTCTACATACATTCTGAAATTTGGTGCAGCCATAATGCTCAATGCACTGGCTAACTTCATCGCACACAAGGTCATGAGGTAAAGAATAAAACAGGTCCTTGACATCAACAGAGAAGGTGCTTACTCCTTTCGGGCACTCGGTCCGAAGGTAATCACTGATGGTGACTGGCCTTTTGATTCGACAGGGGTCATCAATGGGCAGGACTGCTAGAGACCTCTGATGATTCAATGCAACAGGGTGCTCCCAAGTACTGCACTCAGAGAAGATGGCTCTGAAGGGATTGCCTTCTTTGTGTGTCTTCACTGAAACGAAGACAGAAAGTCTCAGGCCTTTTGTTGTTTTACAGACTTTGCCGAAGTGGTTTGCCCAACTTCGTCGCACTGTTTTGCCGCTTGCATCCTCACTCTAGTTCCTTTGATGGCACGCTGGGCTATGTCGCAGAGTCAACAGCGAACGACCTAAGAAAGAAGCATGCACTAAGAAACACGCTACGCGCTATGTTAAATGTGTTTTAGCGATTGTGTACAAGACATTACTCACTTGTGGGCTCTGTTACATTGGCCAAACAGGCCGATGCATAAGTGATCAGTTGAGGGAGCATGCTTACTCTCTAAAAGGCTGCGTTCCCTGGCGGACCATTGTAAAAAGTGTGGTTGTCAGCCAATCCTTGACAAGTGTGTGATCATGGGGCGACAAAAATAAGCGCGAGCGTGATATTAACGAAGCCTTCCACATTCAAGAACTTGGTGCTTCCTGTGTTAGCGTACCCTCGAATTTTCTTCACGGCTGTGAAATTAGTTATCTGGAGTCCACCGATATGACTGGCTTTTGATAAGGTAGGCCGTTTGACGCATGTATGTGCGGTTTGCTTATGCTGCGTGGTTATGCGCAGATTCTGTTTTCCTATATATTGCAGTTGGTTTGCAATAAATTTGTGTTGTTAGTTCAGCGCTCTGCTCTCGTATCTTCTATCACCTCCTGTCGTTTGCGCTGTTAAGAACTTTCTTCGTCTACCGAGGGCTTGGAGGTGGACGCCATAGGCGACGGAGACCAGGGCGAGTTCGTTTTTTGTCTCTACAAGGTAGAGCGGCCAATGGCTTGGGGCTCATTCTACTGGTGTACCAATATGCGCTGTAGCTTTTTGAAAAAAAATGACGTGAGCTCGATTTCTGCATCTCTGCATCGCTCGCCTCGCACTCATGCGCACCGACTAAAGGGTGGTGTTAGGAATTAGAGTGGGGGTTGCTGTTATTGACTAATTAAAATTTTAATTGATTGATTCAAGCAATGAAAAACCGAAAATAAGTTATGATTAATTGAGCACTTTTAATCGATTGATCATTGCCGATTTTGCCATTCCTAATTAGTTGCTCTCGCATTCATTGCATTGCATTCAACACGCCGTCGTGTTGATGTGTGAGCTAATCGGGTAATTGCAAAAGCCACAGTCCCTCGAATTCTCTGTGCAAACTTAAATGTGTGACGAGTCGACCTCGGAAGATCTGTCATTGTCACCCTGGTCTCGGAGGGTTTCCATCAGCACCTAATCTAAAATTTCCTCAGTAGTGACGGCACGGCTGTTCGCATTTAAATAAAAAAGCGAGGCTGAACTTCGTCGGGGGCCACGCCATGGGCGTGCAGTGAAACGATTTACATGCGCATGGCATCGAAAGTGAAGAGTGAACCACACACGTACTGCGGAAAACTTTTTGGTAAAGGGACCAGCATATCCAGCGCAGCCCCACATATGTGATGCTAACTGAAAATGTGGCACTGCCCGTGCAAAAGTAGATTTCTTTTTACAGCGAAAGCTGTTATGCCATTACAACACCAGTCACGCATGGCGCCGTAGTTGTCTGTCGCCGTCGCCGCCAGTGTCTGTAACCATTATTGCACGAACTAAGAAAAAAAACTCAAATAAAAAAACAAGGCTATAGCGGGATTTGAACCCGGGTCTACTGCGTGCTAGCCCAGTATTCTGCCACACCGGTGCTTGGGAATTGCCTTAGGCAGGCGTGGTTTTCTGGTGTTTTTTTTTTGCGATTTGGAGAGGCAGGGAATATCACTCTTGCCTGGCAGTTGCCGCGGCCACGAGTGCGCTGCCACTGCTTCGCGTTTCGTCGTTGGCGGGGCAATCGCTAAAGATGTGTGCTCATGACAAATCCTGCGACCAAATTTTTATATTGTCAGTGGCAAAATTCGTTATGTTAGGGTTATCTTCCACTGTTACTTTGTTACATAGAGATTGCAGGTGCTTCTATGGAGTAATGGTGGTGAATAGAAAAACATCATTATATCGAGATATTTGTTATGTGGAGATTTGTTATTAGCAGGTCTAACTGTATTACAAAGGCTTTAGGATCTGCTGTACATGAGCTTACCTTAGTTTTCATAATTATGCTATTTTGAGTTGATTAAAACTAACTGTAGTGTTCTTTGGTGAAAGTTTGTGAATATTTGTCTCAAAGAAAATGTTGTGCTGTTTACGACTAATTTGAAAATGGTTGGCTTACTATTCGAAAACTATTCAAACAGTATTTGATTTGGTGTCATAACGATTTAATTTTTATTCGATTAAGTTCCAAAATTTGGTATTCGCACATTCCTAGTAAATAGGAATGATGTAGCATACTAGAAATTTTTAATCAGGATGTTTTCTAATGCAGTGCAGAATTAGATGTTTAAACTTCTGCAGTTATTCAAGTAATCAATTATTTAAGCTATTAGTATACTATTTACTATAACTGCACTGATAAAATTCAATACCTTGTGTGGGGTTATCAATGACCAAACACTGTTGGTTGCATCTTCGCGTTCCATTGCACTTTTTTTCAACCGGCACAGCTCAAGTTGGCCAGGACACCCTGTATAAATTTACTCATGTGCATACACTTGCACACTTTCCATAATGCACTGATTTACACTTGCTATGAAATTGAACTTGTAAGCCACAAGTGCTTTCAACTTTGTAAGGCTCACGAACCATTTCAGGTGTCTGCCATCTGTCTACACCGGTTCTGCTTTCTTTTACGATTTGATTGGATGATAAATGTTTGACCCTCTAGCACACTAAGAAGCTGTTTTATACCCTAAGTGATGATAACAGCAGTGATGATGTTAAATGGTGTTTATGGCACATTGTTCTGATATATTCTGACACATGCTTTATTCATGTCTTGATTTCATTCTGGGCAGTCAGTCACCATATCCAAATGGTGCAGGAGTAGTAAGTAATCTAGCAAAGTGTGCCCTACGGCAGATTGTATTTATTCGGTATGGCACTCCTGCATAGTGTAAAAGTTTGTTTGTGTTAGCCCTTTTCATGCCAGTGAAAATGGGATCTAAAATAAAAGCTGTCTGGAAAGAGCATTAGTGAAATTGTTTTATAAGGAAATCCACTAATACCTGGTTGGATATCATTTATTTCCTAAATTCATAATAAGTTGTCTTATCTTATCACTACTTGGGTATGCTTAAGTCATTATTGTCAAGATTAATAAATTAGTAGAAGCCAGTTCTATAGTATTATTTCTAACTTGGTGGTTGGTGCCATTCCTTTTGAACATTATACATTATTCCCTCACTTACAGAAGCTGTGGTTTTTACACTGGTGTTACATTTGTTATTTTGGAAGTTAGGCTTTCTTTCAGTGCCTCAATACCCCCCCCCCCCCCCTTTATTTTATAAGAAAATAGATATAAGGAAATGCGAACTTGTAATATTTTTGTTAAAGCATAAGTCTCCATGGCAGCTGCTTATGCAGGAGGATCAAGTATTTTTAAGCCACTGTGCCTTATATAACAAAGCAGCTTTGGTGCAGTAGTTAATATATTCCACCTTTCAGAGAGCGTTTTTAACACCTGCTTGCACTGTTTGATATGTGTGTTCACCTAAAGTGGCGTGTTTTTTTACAAACTGTACATTTTGATTGTGCAACACTCACAGGACATTGCAGCAAAGACTGAGGAATTGTTGCTCAACATCAAGAGTGCTATGGCTCCTGGCACAAGTGGCAAGCCAGTGGTCAGCTTTGCAAAACTGCAGGGACTCAAGCTAGCACCTGCACTTGAAAACTTTTACTGGAACTTGGCAGTAGCAGAAGGACTGGTGGATGCATGATCAAGTCTTGGAGACGCACAGCATGCAGTGACTTTGCTTGTGGGCTCATTGCCAATTTCTACAATATTAAGCATGTAATAAATGTGCAGGTGGAGCAGTTATTTTAATCCTCCGAGCATTGTCACTGTGACATAATAGCTGCTGTACGTAAGAAAGGTGCTTATCTTACGCTGCTTATTTGAATTGAAATAGCAACGCCATAAAGTTTTGCTAGATTTTCTGTTATACTACTGAACATGTTAATTTATTCTTGTTTCATGGGTGTTCTACTGTTGCACAAAAAATTTCAAATATTTATGCCTAATGACATCAAATTAATGTAACCACGAAGCTCCAAAGTCATCTTTAGCACCATCTTTATGTGCACAAATTGAATGTAGTATGATGCACTTGTTTGTTACAGATGAACTGATGCAACTCTAATGCTTCTGTAGAGAAAATATCCATCTTTGCCATTGCAGGCCACCAGTGGGGCTAGAGGGGCTCATCAGAAGTGCTCATGTAACTCCATCAAATGCTTCAATATTCACAGCCCTCACTTCTGCCTTTTCCTTCTGCTGTTTTGAAGTACTTCAGACCCCCTTCCGATTCTTCGCACCTTCCACAGGACCCTAGACTCATTTATTGCCAACAGCACCCCCAAGGCTTCCCTGCAGTACCAGATAGAAATAAAGTCCCAGACTACTATGTCTTATTGTGCAAATCTTGTTCAATACCCTCCACTGACCTTCTTTACTGCATGCTCTGCTACCCAACATTCATGCCTGTTGCCTCCCTGCCAAACCATAAATAAAAAACTCCCTACTAACATCTTCGAAGTGTGTGTCATAGACATGCGGCAAGTTGGAATCTGCACTTTTCTAATTGTGGTTTTTTTCACAGCTGGTGTCAACGTCCAGGTATGATGACATAAGTTGATTTTGTAGCTCGCTGCTATAGTTAAAAAAAAATGGCCATACAGAAAGGATCATTCAGTGGTTAAGAGAAACTTGACAGTTACTATTCTTTTTTCAAAAGTTAACACTATAAGACAGAGGTTAGTGAGCCAGAATTTTTTTTGTGTGTCCAATTTCGATGGAGCTACAGGGATGGCCAGAAAACTAGATAGTGATCTTGTGGTGCATTTGCATTGCATCTCATTGTCTTAGCAACCATACAAATACAAACAAATTAGACATTTATATGTAAGCCCGTGTGTTTACGAATGCACAAAAAAAGGAACAGTTGGAGTGGAAAATCACTATATTCACACTCAGTCCAAGGCTGTCTTCATGCAAAACTTGGGCCATTGTAGAGACCTGCAGATTATGCGACTTACCGAATAGAGATATATGCTTCACTGTTGTGTGAAGAATTGAAACACCATTTTCTGCTAGAGATGTATAGAAGCTTTACATTATTAATTTGCGAACGAGGTAACTTATCCTCCAATTGTGATAAAAAATTTACTGTTGCATAAAGAATAGAAGTGTTATTTTTTTATACATATCGATTGAAACTGTACATTATAAATTTAAGGGTAGAAATCGATTGAAACTGTACATTATAAATTTAAGGAAAGATGTGGGTCGAAAAATGCGATTTTTTTATTCAAGAATAATGATTTGTTTATTTTGACATGTTTTGTAAAGGTTAGTATCGACTGTTCCGAAAATAAAAATCTAAGTCGAGATGTACTCAAAATGTGTTAAAATTGTGCCTAAAGAGCACAAAGTGGATGCTTAAAGAACCAAAGTGCGCTGTCTGCTAGCGCCTCGTGACTGATAATGCGTGGTTAATCACCATTGTGGATAGCATGAGGAGATCAGCAAAGCCTGGTTTTTCAAATCCCCACAGTTTTGCGTGCTCCTGCATCACAAGAAATAAAAAAAAAGGCATGCTTCTGCCAAATTTTCTGAGTGCTGGGACTGGCTTTTAAATCGCGTTGTAAAATATGTGGCCAACTGAACAACCGACATGGCTTTAAGAACTCGGACAGATCTTTATTACCGTCCGCACGAGCCCAGAACGTAAAAGATGGCTTCTCGTCGTCTTCTTCCAACAAGTTCATGAGCTTTCAGGCACGCTGGCGCCAATCTCGTCATTTCCTTCTTTCAAACTGAATGCAGGAAATTTAATGTGGTATGGGTTGTGGACCGCTACGGTCGCGGCATGCCTTGTGTATTACGAAGCCTACTTGCAGGGTTCATGTCTTATCAAGCTCTGCTGCTGAACAATGTTTCTCTCGTATCTTTACCTTCATTATGGGCGAAAAAAGCTGTAGCAAGTGCTATCACCAACTAGTGAGGTGTTTGTCGGTGAACAAATTTTGAAGACTCCTGCTCAAATTGAAGCGACACACTAGCCAAATGGCAATCTTCTTTTTCCATTTTCCTGTGCTGCTGTCAGCCGTTTTGGTAGGCCTTTGGTAGGGGCCGGTACAACCGGTATTGCCAGAAAGAAAGCTTCCGAAACCCAAAGACATTTAAAAGGCGATGCATCCAATGAGTTTTCCATGTGCAGTGTGTCAGTACCTCTTGAGAAGATGATAGGACTTTTAGACTACCAAGAAATATCGCGAGAAAAATTCTTCCTTGAGTGCTGACATAATAGTATTGAACATCCTTGTGATTGGTGTGGTTTATTCAATATGTCACAGTTTGGAAATATGCGTTCGGGAACCAGCTGACAAATGCAAAGGCACTGTTTTTGGAACTACCATGAAAACACAGCAAGCGCCCCGAAAGTATTCTTTTGGCAACAAATATGCTACGGTGAGTTGCGTTGAGCGAGAAGTCCAGCGTAAGCGCAGCAACTGACAGACTAAGTACGAGCAGAACCTACTCCAGCGGGAACTCGCACAGTAGCTACGTTGTCAATGTGCAAAATGTGCAAGCTGGGTGTGCTTCCTTTTATTGATTGGGTAGCGCTTACTACATTACGAGACAGTGAACACCAGAAAAAAAATGTTTGCCGTACTAACAGCCGAAGCAAGAGCGTATCGGCACACGTAGACAAAAAAATCTCTCGTCAAAGAGTCTGCTCAAAAGAGCTGTAATGGAGAAACTCTTGTTGCAGGTTCATTTTAGTGGCGACAACTACTATAAGAACAATTTCCCCTTTTTGTGTGCAATTTTGATCGCATTTCACAACCTCTTTCATTAATATACATTCAATTTCAACTTTAAACTTGGTTTTTCTTTAAACATACTTTTTGACATTTTCAGCTTGCCCAGCTTGTTTTTAGTACTTCTGGTGCACCGATCTCCATAAAATCTTGCCCGCATTTTCTCTAAGGTGCGAGGAGTACAGTTATTTTCTCCAAATTTCAATATTTAAATGTTTGAAAATTTACAAGTAAACATTTACTAGGTTCTGGGTAATATAGAGTTCCAGTGTTTTGTTTGAATTTTTCAAGTCTGGCAAATATTTTGTATGCACTCTCTGGCTAATTCTTGATACTCTACAGTCAATTTGGAGCAATATGAGCCATCATTGGTAAAAAAATATAGAGGCTGAACAATTGAAAAAGGGCATGCACAAGACCTATGTTTTACATTTCTGTCACGGTGCAGAACAAAAAGTATGCAACTTGCAAGAAAACTAATTCTGTAGTGAATAAGAAAGACGTTGATACCATCAGGTCAGCTATCATCGGCACAAGAAGAAGGCACGAGATCGGCGATCAAGCACCGTCATCTGGGTTCGCCTGCGTTCCTTTAGAGCTACCACCCGCTTGCTCAGTCCTTCAATAAACCCCCTTTACATTTGGTGGAGGTGCTGGGTAACTGCATCACCTACACCCTGGAACTCCGATCCCGCACGCTGCCGTCGACCATGCAAGTTGACGCTGCCCAACAGACAGCACCTCTCGCGGCTCCTACTTGCCCCGGCCCGGTTCACCAGCGAGACCCCCCGATCTTTTCGGGCGCCGAAGACCAGGACGTCGAGGACTGGCTGTCGTCCTACGAAAAAGTCAGTGGACCAAACAGGTGGGATGACGCTGCTAAGTTGAGCACCGTCAACTTTTACTTGGCTAATGTGGCGAAACTGTGGTATACAAACCACGAATCCGAGTTCGAGAATTGGGCCACTTTCAAGCAGGCAATATCCTCAGTTTTCGGTCGCCCTGCCGTGCGGAAGTTGCGCGCCGAACAACGCCTGCGCTCACGGGCACAAGAACCTGGCGAAACGTTTACCGCCTATATCGAAGATATACTCGATCTCTGCAAGCGCGTCGATGCCGCAATGAGCGAAAGTGCCAAGATCCAGCACATTATGAAAGGTGTTGATGACGACGTCTTTCAAATGCTCCTGGCGAAGTCTCCTGGCACGGTGTCTGAAGTGGTAACTCTGTGCCAGAACTACGACGAATTGCGACGGCAACGAGCTCTCACCCGTCGTCCATTTCAGCCTAACCAACCACTCGCTGTCCTGGACGTCCTACCTGACCACTCCCGCCTTCTAGCACAAATGAAAGACTTTGTGCGTGAGGAGGTCGCACGTCAGCTTTCCCTCCTGCCGTTTTGTCAGCGCCAAGAGCTCCCGCAGCAGCAGAAAGAGCAACCACCGACACCGTTAGCTCCCATGCTCTGACATGCACTTCAGGACCAGATTGCCGAGGCTATGCCAGTGCCCTTTCAGCAGCAAGTTGTCGCCGCGCCCCTTACTTATGCTGACGCAGTAAAGAGGCAGCAGCCACACCAGCCCTCGCCGTTCAATGGACTGCCGCATGTCACCGCTCCTACTCAGTCTTCCGTCGCATGGGCTCCTCCCCTCGCTACCACAGCCTCGACTCAGCCGTACGCCGCGTGGGCGGCGCCCCTTGCTGCAAATGCCTGGCGAACGCGCGATAACCGGCCGATCTGTTTTGCGTGCGGCGGACCTGGCCATATCTCCCGATACTGCCGTCGTCGCGTGCCCGCCTACACAGACGTCCCACCACGAAGCAATTACATGGACCGACCACCTTTTGGTTATGAAAGTTCGGATCGTCAGTCAAACACGTCTTCCCGTGACTATCCGGCAACTTCGTCTCGTCGCTCACCTTCACCCAATCGACGCTCCTTGTCACCCATGCGTCCACGACCAGCCCCTCAAAATGAGGGAAACTAGCCGTCGCAGTTCAAGGGGCAAGAACTGCGCTATCGAAATCTTCAAGTCCTCGCACCTTGCCGTCAAATATCGTCGAAGTTTTTGTAGACGGCGCCCATGCATACGCTCTTGTGGATACCGGTGCCGCTGTGTCTGTTATAGACGCCAAACTTTGCCGCAAGCTCCGAAAGGTGACCACGCCGCTTGATATGTTCTTACGTGCAGCAAATGGAGAACCTGTTCGACCTATAGCCGCCTGCACTGCCCGACTCAAAATTGCGGAGGACCACTACATTGTTGAGTTTATCGTCCTTTCCTCGTGCTCTCATGACATCATACTTGGCTGGGATTTCCTATCCCGTAATCGTGCCGTTATAGATTGTGCCCGTTCCGAACTTGAACTGCTTCCGTTCTTCGAGCAGCCCTACGACCACACTAATCAAGCCGCGCACAAGCTAGTTGTCAAAGAAGACACTGACATTCCACCGACAACAGCTGTTTTGCTCCCTGTGGTCTCTGACGGCATGCGTGATGAAGTTGCATTTTTCGAGCCATCACGCCTCTTTCTAAGTCGGGAAACCACTTCTGCTCCCTTATTCAGCCCTCTCAATTTCTAATGGAGCCAGTGCTCTCTGCCTTACCAATCCCTTTCCGCATACCATCAAACTGTTTAAAGGCGAGTCTCTTGGATGCGTACAGCCCATTGATAACGGACAAATTTTTACCGTGCCGCAAGAATCATCCCAAAGTGACCTCGCCGCCGTCAGTGCTCTTAACCACTCTCATCTACAGGCTTCAAAAGTGTTCGATTCGGCGATCGCAGACGGACTGTCACCATCTGAACGATCTGAACTCCTCCAACTGCTGTACCAGTACCGCGAATCTTTCGATGTTGTTCAACCTTCACTTGGCCGCACTTCTACCACTCTACATTACATCGATACCGGCTCCCATGCGCCACTACGACAGCGACCATATCGTGTTTCTGTGGCGGAACGCCAAGTTATTACCGAACAGGTGAACGATATGCTGCAACGTGGCGTCATTCAACCTTAACAAAGTCCATGGGCCTCACCTGTAGTGCTCGTTAAAAAAAAGGATGGTTCCGTTCGCTTCTGTGTGGATTACCGGCGCCTAAATAAGATCACTCGAAGAGACGTGTATCCTTTACCCAGAATTGACGATGCCCTTGATACTTTACAAGGTGCCGAGTTTTTTTCATCATTAGATTTGCGCTCAGGGTACTGGCAGGTCCCCCTTGCAGATGCCGATCGACCAAAAACAGCCTTCTTGACACTGGACGATCTGTATGAGTTTAATGTCATGCCCTTCGGCCTCTGCAATGCGCCTGCCACCTTCGAGCGCATGATGGACTCGGTTCTTCGGGGTTTGAAATGGCAAATCTGTCTCTGCTATCTCGACGATATAGTCGTCTTTGCGCCAGACTTTGGAACACATCTCGAGCGCCTCAAACACGTCCTCACGTGCCTGAAGAATGCTCAGCTCCAACTCAACCTCAAGAAGTGTCACTTCGCTGCTCGGCAACTTACGATTCTCGGGCACGTCGTATCAAGGACGGTATACTTCCAGACCCGGCTAAGTTACGTGCTGTCGCCGACTTCCCCAAACCAACGACTATGAAGCAGTTACGGAGCTTCGTGGGGTTATGCTCCTACTTTCGCCGGTTCGTGCGCAACTTCGCCTCTATCACTGCGCCTTTGACCGAACTTATAGGCAGCACCACTGATATTTCGTCATGGTCTTCTGAGTGTGACCAAGCCTTCTGTACTCTTCGTCGTCTCCTCACTTCGCCACCAATACGATCCTACGGCAGCAACTGAGGTCCACACCGACGCCAGTGGTGTCGGCCTCGGTGCGGTTCTCGCGCAACGCAAGCCTGGATTCGCCGAGTATGTCGTCGCCTACGCCAGCAGAACTCTTACCAAGGCTGAATCAAACTACAGCGTCACCGAGAAGGAATGCTTGGCGATCGTTTGGGTGCTTGTCAAGTTCCGCCCATACATTTATGGCCGTGCTTTTGATGTAGTAACGGACCACCACGCATTATGCTGGTTATCGTCGCTTAAGGACCCATCAGGTCGTCTTGCCCGTTGGGCTCTTCGGCTTCAATAATATGACATTCGCGTGGTATATCGTTCCGGCCACAAGCATGCCGATGCTGATGCACTGTCACGATCTCCCCTATCCCCGGACATCGCATCTGTTTCCTCGGACAACACGTTGTCAGCGCTTGACGAGGACACCATCTCTTCTGCACAACGCAATGACCCATGGATCGCTTCGCTTCTTGACGCGTTATCCGAGGCACCGACACTGCCAACCACTCGAACCCTGCGCCGCCAGGCTCCGCACTTCAGTATTCGGGATGGCCTTTTGTACCGGCGCAACTATTCAGCAGATGGTAGGAAATGGCTACTAGTCATTCCCCGAACGCTGCGCTCTACCATCTGCGCGTCGTTTCATTCCGACCCGCAATGTGCTCACGCCGGTGTTTTCAAGACCTACGAGCGCCTACGAAAAAGGTATTACTGGCGCGGAATGTTTACCTTCGTCCGCCAGTTCATTCGCGGCTGCCACGAATGTCAGCGGCGGAAAAGCCCGCCACATCCTGCAACAGGTTCATTGCAGCCACTTCCATGCCCAGACCGCCCATTCGACCGTGTAGGAATTGACCTCTACGGACCACTACCATTAACAACGGCAGGCAACCGATGGGCTATCGTGGCAGTGGATCATCTAACACGGTACGCTGAAACTGCTGCTCTCCCCACAGCTGCAGCACAAGACGTCGCAACTTTCATACTCAATCGTTTTGTGCTTCGTCATGGTCCTCCTCGAGAACTCCTCAGTGACCGAGGGCGTGTTTTCCTCTCCGATGTAATACAAGCACAAGCTTCTTCAACGGTGCCATATGGTTCACCGGAAGAGTACAGCCTACCACCCACAGACGAACGGCTTGACTGAGCGGTTTAATCGTACTCTGTAGTGAATAAGAAAGACGTTGATACCATCAGGTCAGCTATCATCAGCACAAGAAGAAGGCACGAGATCGGCGATCAAGCACCGTCATCTGGGTTCGCCTGCGTTCCTATAGAGCTACCACCCGCTTGCTCAGTCCTTCAATAAACCCCCTTTACAATTCTAATATTTGCAATCAATGTAAAAATCTCTACAAAGAGACCAAATTTCATTGTTCTAGGGTAGAAATTTAATGTTACCTGGAAGGATGGATAGGCGCTTTGTATATTCTGGAAGCAGCGACACTGTTCATGTTGCCATTCCTTCAGACAAGGAAAACAGTCGTCACTAGACACACTAACATTGATGTGTTTTAGATTGTCTTACTTTAATCCTCTGAGCATGCTATCTCAATTGGGAGGTGCAATGACATTTGTTTGGCATATTCATTCTAGACACTTCATTGTAAGTTAGCCCAAAATAATTATGGGTGTTGTTATTTTGTTGTTTTAGATGTTACTTCTTAATTTTGCTGGTGATCCATAGTTATGCCTGTGGTTTTGTGTAGTTAATTTCGCCACTTGATTACTTTGCCTCAAACACTATACCTAGCACTGCTAGCCTCCGTCAGCGACAGAATACCGAGACTGGTGAGCAGCTCCTCCGCCAGCTGTGGAGGCCCACATGAGAACAGGGGATGTGGAAAAATTGAGCACATTGCTTAAGTGTGCTAGTCCTGGACGCAGCCCAACCCATGTCAGAATTTCGAAACCGAAGGCCATATGCAACACATCAAGAGCACTCCTTACACAAGCATTTCGTACTGCAACGACTTGAGAGAAACTATCAATGAGGTGTCTCAATCCACCTTGAAGAAGGTACTTGCGTGCTTCAGAATCGAAGGCGCGCAGTGTCAGATGGACATGGACTCGGGATCAAGCTTTTTTCAATCATCTCCGACGCTACAGCGAGACGTATTTTTCCAAAGGAGAAATATGTCTAGCTGGGGGTATACTTGCATGAAATGAAACAATTTAATTTTAGCGTGCGCAACAGCCTTGTGCATGCAGTGCACGAGAGGGAAAAAATCTGTGCATGCTCTGAACCAATGAAAAAAGCACGTGTTTGCGCACACTATATTTTGGTGCTTATGTTGCTCCCGCTACAGCTGTTCCAAGCGTATCTTACCCATGGCTCTCTTTTGCAAGAACGACGTTCTGACAGCAGCACGGAAGTCGTGGCAGCGAACGAAGTCTGTGTAATTCTCAGCATTGCTCTTGGTTCTACTGGTCTCACTGGCTTCATGCTTTTCAATAAATGTAGTTGCAAGTAGACGCCAGCAAATGTGATATGCGCGTCTTCCCTTGTCTTCGTTTTTTCGCGCACCACATGCTTAGTATATATCAAGACTTGATTTGGAACTTGTGTAAGTAACTTGAACTCTATCGGTGAACAGGTGCAGCAGATTGTGATCGCTGCTAAGCTGAAGCCCAATGCACCAAGACCGGGCACAGTCAGTTGGTTTGTGCCGGCTGCAGTGGTGGAAGTGTTGCGCCAAACTGCGCCAAGACATAGATGCTGCTACATGCTGCGCCAAATGGCTGTTTTTCGCGTATATTGCGCCATGCCTGCTCCGAGGCCAACGTTTTGTGACGCTCGCCTCCACGACCAATGGTTCCGAAACCGAAACAATGCTAAAATAGCAGCTAAGCCAAGCCTGTCTTCAGCCACTGCTAGCCGAGTGCGAAGCGTTGGCTAATGGCTAGAGAACGTTGCACCAGTCACACGTGCTGGGCGCATTGGCCGTTCCGGCAGGCAACGAAATGGCTTTTACGAGAAAAAGTAAGCCAACGGCACGAGGAAAGGTAAGCCTGTGGCATATGTCGTTGACGCCTGTTTTGTGTTGGCTTGAAAAGTTAAAGTGTTTGAGCCTCCGATTGTAATTCCTTGTAAAAACCTTGATGTTATTGTGCTGTTAAACCTACTGTTTATTGTCACGTTTTTGACGCACATTTTGTGCTGTTTTTGGGCGCATTTGCTTTGGATGTCCCCTCGTGTGACATCAGTAGCCCTTAAAAGCACCGGAATCATCGAGGGGCTCGTCTTTTCTTTGTTCGATACAAGTATTTAAGCGCACATTATTAGCTTTGAACTGACGTGAACAAAAATATAAAAGGCACGAGCGCCAATAGGTGCATTTATTAGCAAGTTATTCGTGGAGACATGTATTGCGGTATCACAGCTCATTATTTTACATTGTTTGTTTGCGATTTGTAACTGTCTCCACGCAGCACGGTTCAGCGCAGTAGCGGCAGTAGTTCGTACGAAGTGCTGCTGAAAAACATTTATTTACAGATGTTATTTACAGGGAGGGTGGGAACGGTCCTTAAGGGGCCGCCCCGTACAAACTAGGGAGCCTACATGAACAGCCGTTTTTAGGGTGGAGACATCTTAATAAGTGCCTTCAAGAAACTCAGCCAAAACCAGTGGGCAACGAGGCACGCTGTTGCCAGCTTCCACCAAATTCAGCATAGTTTTCTGTGCGCCGACATTTTGGAGCCAGCCGCCGCTCCCTCCAGCTACGCGAAGTACGGCGCAACAAAAAGGAGCCGACCGAGTGACAGCGGCGGTTCTCAGGGTCGTGTAAGCGACCCAGTTCTCAAAGTGAGCGCACGAAGAAATTCGCAGCCCACACACAAACACTTGCAACATAATACTGAGGTTACGCTGACAGGAACGCAAGCGTGGCAACAGCTCAGACTAGCGAGCGCATCTCCGTACGAACGCGTGGACGCGTCCCGTTTGTGAGCTTCCTACTCGCAATGCGTGGACGCAGCAACGACAACTTCGGTTATCTACTCATTCGCGAACACCGCGAAACACATATACGTGTGCCGCAGGAAAAAAAACAGTGAACGAAATACGCAGTACTCACAGAGCAAATACAAGACGCACTGGTGGACTCCCAGCCGTCTCGCTTCACTTGAGCCAGCCATAGTTGTCGTCGGCCAGGGCTCGCTGGGAAGCGGAACATTCGCACCCCCTTTCTGTTGTGGTTAGTGCAGAGCGGTACGCAGCATCCAGGCATTCTAAGGCTTCACCGGCAACGTTTAACACGCTACCGCAACGTTCAACGCCGTATTATTGAGAACTAAACGCAATCGGGCGTAGACGCAGTGCGGGCGCCAAGATGGGGCGACAGCGCGGCGTTGCTGTCTGGCAACATTGTGTTTTGGCGGGCGGCGGTGCGTTGGCGGCATGTAGTGGGTCAAAGGCTGACATCACCCTAAAAACGGCTGTTCATGTAGGCTCCCTAGTACAAACACTAGGTGAGCTCCCTCTTACGGGAGCCCATTGGCGTTGGCCGCGGCCCGGGCACGCTCGACCACGGCCCGTTGGGCCGTCAGGTCAGAGCAGCCGAGCAGGGCTGCCTCCCAGTCCTCCCGCGAAGGGTTGGGTAGCGGGGTAAGGTTTGGGGTTTTTTTGGCATGCCCACACCATGTGGAAAATGTCAGAGGAATTTTCCTCACAATGCGGGCACTTCCCCGTGCAAGCGGGGTCAAAGTGTTTTATGATTGCCGGGCACAATAGAGTTTTTGTATAAAGGCGAAGGAGGATTCGCTCCTCCGCCTTCGTGAGGCCCTTACAGGATTTCGGATAGACGTTATGGCCGGATTGATAAAATTGTGTGACCTCCTTAAAGGTGTAGGCGAGATTGGGTTCGAGTTCCGGATCGGTAGGGGACGAGGGTGGTGCCCGGAGAGTGAGCGCGCGGGCGGCGGCATCGACCATCTCATTACCATCGAGGCCTGTGTGAGCCGGAGCCCATGTGATCGTTCAGTGCGCGGGGGCACCTAGGTAGCTGCTGTTCTGCAAAATTTTATAAGCACGGTATGGAATATATCCCTGTTCAATATTGCGACAGGCACCCCTTGAGTTGGTGATGATGACCCGCGAGTCCTGATCTGCGGTGGCTAGTGCGATGGCGATCTCCTCCGCGTGCGTAATGTTATTTGCACAGAATGTGAGTCCGTTTACAACGGTGTTTTGGTGGACGACCGCAGCCGTGTACCAACCACCGTGGTGCGGGCCGGAGGCGTCCACGTAGAATACTTCGAATTTGTGGCCGTAGTGTCGAGCCAAGGCTTTCGCCCGCGTGAGGAGTCGGCCACTGTAGTCGTCTCGGGTCATGTTAGCCGGAAGAGGGTGCACGTGCAAGGAGTATCGCCAAACTTCTGGAATCCGTACGCGCTCTTCCGTGTGTATTGAATGATTGATGTGTAGCCGGGCAAGGAGGCGGCGACCCGACGGTGTTTTAGAGAGTCTAGTATATTGGTTTGTCAAGTGCGCCTCTCTCAGCTCCTTGAAGGTGTTCACCATTCCCAAGCCCAAAAGGCGCTGGTTAGAGGTGCTGACAGGAAGGTCGAGGGCGCGCTTGTAGATTTTGCGGAGAATGACTTCGAGTGCATTCTCGTCGGATTTGCGTAGGTGGAGGTATGGAGCCGAGTACAGGACTCGGCTGGTTACGAATGCATGCGCCAGCCGCAAGGCATCTTTGCATCGTAACCCCCCGCGCTTGTTGGAAACCCGGCGGACCATCCGGCCCACCTGGTCCCCCACCATACGCAATTTGGCCAATGTTTTGTCTGCTCTGCGATTTTTGTGTATAAAAAGCCCTAGTATTCTAATCTCATCGCGTTTGGGTATGGGTCCGCTGTGAAGGGAGAGGTCGATTTTTGAGGTGCACTTTGGTGATGGGCGTATGTGCACGAATTCTGATTTGGACGGGGAGCACTGAAGGCCGCAGCGACGGGCATAGTCATCCACGATGTCCGCCGCTTGCTGCAGGCTTGCCTCCATGTCTCCTGCCGAGCCGTGTGACGCCCATATGGTGATGTCGTCGGCGTACAGCGCATGCTGTATGCCTTCGACTTTCGCCAGCTGAGCGGGGAGTCTCATCATTGCCACATTGAATAGGAGGGGCGAGAGGACCCTGCGGAGTCCCTCTCGTGCCTAATCGGTAAGGGCCGTGTTCAATGTCCTGAATCCGAATGTATGATTGTCGGTCAGTGAGGAATTGTTTAATATAGTTGAAAGTGTTTTGGCCGCAATCCACCTGTGAGAGATGTGTTAGAATAATTTCGTGGGTCACGTTATCAAAGGCCCCCTTCAGATCCAAAGCGAGCACAACTTTGTAATTCAGGGGATACTCGACTGGATCGAGGATCTCATGGTCGAGCTGAAGGAAGACATCCTGCGCGGACCAGTGTGGGCGGAACCCGAACATGGTGTCTGCAAATGCATTTTTGGTCTCCAGGAATGCGGATAACCTGTCGCGCACCATCGTCTCCATTAATTTTCCCACACAAGAAGTAAGGGAGATGGGGCGGAGGTTGTTCGTGTTAATGGCTTTGCCCGCTTTGGGTATGAAGGTGACCAGGGCGGTCTTCCACTCAATTGGTAGGCTTGTTTTCCCGATCCAAATGGAATTGATGTAGGCAAGGAGCTTGGTGTAGGCCGAGTCAGGAAGATTGGCAAGTAATTGCACGGTAATTTTATCCCTTCCTGGCGCCGTTCCTCGCCTCATTTTTGCTAGGGCTGCCTTCAGGTCGTGTAACTGGAACAGTTGATCCAGCTCCGTGTTCTCGGTACCTGCATACGAGTACGCCGCCCCTCGGGAGTCCCGCTGTGTGCATAGATATTGGTCTCGGAGTTTACATGCCAATTTGGCTGCGTCTCCGTCGAAGCTGTGAAATGCTTGTTGCATGTGCTTTTGTGTCTCTGTTCGAGTTTGGGTCGGATCAATCAAGGTGCAGAAGAGGCGCCAGGTACTCCGGCTGGACATTTGTCGAGCGGCCGTGTTGCAACGGTCTACCCAGTTAGAGTCAGCGAGCTGGGCTGCGTACTCTGCTGCTCGCTGGGTGAGCTCAGCGATGCGAATTTTGAGCTTTCGGTTGTGTTTTTGCCGGCGCCATCGACGGACGAGGCTGCGCCGGGCCTCCCAGAGGTGAAGGAGATGGTTATCCTCCGCCGGAGTCGCTTCGGAGAGTTTAATTTGTGTTTCTGTGGAGCGTAATGAGGAAATCAGTTGCTGGGACCAAGCATGGTATCCTTGCTCCTCAATGGGTGTCGAATTGGCGTATATTTGCCAAAACTTCGTGTAATCGGGTAATTTTGCCTCTCCGTAGGGTCTTGCCAAAGGATAGGTGCGAATGGTGGTGTTGAGTATGCAGTGGTCGCTGCCGAGGGTCTCCTCAGTGTTAACCCAATCCGCATACTGGATGTTTTTTGTGAGGGTAAGGTCCAGACATGTGTCCCGGGTCACGGAGTTACCCACGCGAGTTGGGTAGGCAGGGTCGGTGTGAAGAGTTAGGCCCAGCGTGGACATAAGTTCCGCCAATTTACGTCCACGTTTCTCTTCACGTGCATACCCCCAGAGTGTGCTGGGGGCATTAAAATCACCCACGATCACCAGAGGGTCCCTGCCTGCAGCCTTTAAGGCGCGGCTAAAAAGGTCTGCGATTGTAATGTTGCTTAGTTTCGGTGAGCAATAAATGTTTAGCTCGTGCAGTGGCGGGTCCTGTTTACGCAGCGGAAGGAGTGTCACCATCACGTACGAGAAAGCTGGCTTAAGGTCGAGATCAACTAGGTTGGCCGTATAATTTTTGTGCACGCAGATGCAAGATAAAGGGTGCTGCTGAAACGTAGTATAGTTTGTGAGTGTGGCAGCACTCCCTGGCTCCTGGAGGGCTACCACAGCAGGAAGGTTTTGAAATGCTGCAAGGAAAAGCCGGAGGTTGGCGCGCTTAGTGTGAGCCTTAAAGCCCCGACAATTCCACTGGGTGATTTGGATGGGAGTGGCCGTATTGGATCGTGGGGACTTCCGAATTCTAAGGGTGCCTGCCATGGTCAGTGGAGTTAACGAGCGATTGCGGTGGCGGTGCTCCCGAGCCAGCACTCGCTGGCTCGGGAGCTCCTCAATTCCGGAGGCGGAGCAGCTGTCATCATCCTCAAATTCGATCTGTCGTCGAAGCGTTTTAAGGTACCGGCCGGACACGTCCTTAATTGGGCCAGTTCGCTTGGTGAAACGCGCAACTTGTTGGGCTATCAGGGTTGGGATAGATTCTGTCATTTTAGCAATGGCGGCATTTAAAGCCGCTGAGATTTGGGTTTCGATGGCAGTTATATGGCTGTCCATACGGACCTCAAGGGTGTTCACACGAGCCTCGAGTGCGGCAACCGCGTCCGCTGCCGTCGCCCCGGTCTCACTCTTCATTACCTCTACTGCGGGGGGAGGAGGAGGGGAGACTAGTTGGGTCTGTTTGGCCTCGGCTGCCGCTAGTCTTCTCTGTAACGATTCGATTTGTGCCTGAAGTTTGGCAATAATATTTTGGTCGGCGTTACGCGATGAAGAGGGGATGATAGGGGGGATGAGGAGGCAGCTTTACCCGTACCATCCACCTGGTTTCCGTTTTTGACGGCGTTGGCCCATGGCCCGGCTTCGCCGCATGGTTGCGCCGTCGGCTGCTTTCCGGTTCCTCCAGTAGGGGAAGCAGGCTTGTCTGTCTTGGCGACTTGCCGGCGTGGTGGCTCACTGGGAGTCTGATCTTTGCGTCGTTTCTTGGACGCCCTTTTGGACTTTCCGCCCTGTTGTGCGGCCACCTTGGAATGCTCGAGAGTTTGTGGCGTGTGCTCCACCGCACACAGAACATACGGGTACACATTCATGAGGGGCCCGCACCCCCTCCTCCACAAGCGGAACCTGCTGTCCACACAGGCCACACGTATCCGGTCGTGGGTTGGGACAAGTGTCCACCCGATGGCCGACGACACTGCACTTGCCGCAGGCCGGGATCGTCTGGTAGTAGGGTTTGACGGGGATCAGCATTGTGTCGTAGTGAACAAAGCGTGGCTTCTCCTTGCCGGCGAAGGTTACACGCGCCTTGTTCGATGTGCCAAATTTACGCACCTCGACGATGGTGCCTGACCTCCACCGTACGCTCTCTCGGATCGTCTCCGTCGTATCTGTGTTGCGGACTACGATGACTCCGTGGCAGACATTGCTACCATCTTGTCGCAGGTACCCGTTGAGCAGAACCTGCCTGTGCTTGATGTTTACCGCGAAGTCCCCGATGATTTTGTCTGCAGTGTCAGGGTCCGGGGTGTGAATCACGATCAAATTTTGCTGTCTCGATGGAATAACTGTCAGCGTCTCAGCTCGCTCGGGCCCGAGGTATGCCTTAAACGCGGTCCCAAACAAGTTCTCTGAGAAAGCATCATGCAATGAGATGCACTCTCGTGGCTTTACGACTATGACATAGTCGTCCGGACTCGGTTTCGGAAACGGGCAGGCTTCCATTTGGTGAAAAACTTGCCCTTGCGTCCCACAGCACGCGAAGCGGGAGGCTGCGTCTTGTCAACTGGCGTGCCGGATGCCGGGGCAGCGGCGGACGCCGCCTTCTTGGCGTTGGCTTGCAAGCGGCGTTCCACCGCGTCGTTGGGAGCTTGGCTCCGAAACCTCGGTGAAGAAGCAGAGTTTGGAGTTTCGGAAGTCGTAATCGTCTCCCACGTCATGGAATGTGGGTTGTATCCACGCTGCATGAGAGTAGCGTCCATGTTGCCTCGGAAAGCCGGTCCCACGCCGCCAGGCATCTGCGTCGCCAACGTGGTCGGGTGATGATCGGCCGGAAAGTTGTTAAAAACCGGCCCACCTGGATGACACTGGTATCCATGTGTTGCCTGTGAGTTCGAAACGATTGATACTGGTCTTGACGGGGTACTGTGAAGTTGCCCGTGGTTCCAGCCGAAAATCAGCGGAGCCGAAGCGCAGCACGTCCTACATCATCGCGCGCTTGCAGCGCGCCCCCTCGTACGAAGTGACCGTGCGGCATCAGCAGCCACGTGTTATGTATTGATGTGCGCATTAAGTTATTATCGTGTAATCGTGATCTGGGCCATGTCGCGCTTATCTGTACTGACTGAACTCATAATATACCGAATTTCGGATTTTTAAAATTGGTCGGTAGGATGTGAAACACGGTTGTGAAAATTAACAGCGCGCCTGTCGCCGTGGATTTTTATATAATCATAGCATTGTATAATGATATTACCGCGCCTTGCCGTACCTATTTCAGTTATTATTTGTGCTATAGTGTGGCTCAATTTACCGTGCATTTGCAAAAATAGATATCCAAGTTTGTGTTTAAGTTGTATATCAGAAGTTTGTGTAATCAGGGCAACATTTTCTTTCAGGTCGTCAAAGCAAGTTTAATAACCAAGTGCTCAATGAGATTGATTCCAACGGTGACGTCATCTCTGTTTGGTGCAGACAAGAGATAAAACAAGAGGAAGCGTTCTGCACCATCTGAAACACTATCATAAACTGTGCACAGCATGGTGTAGCAGCTGTCAAGCATCATGCTGCCAATAAGAGTCCCGTTGAATTGTGCACTCAACATAGAGATGCTTCTGGTGTTCTAAAGAAGCCTGCTACTAAGCAAGTTCAGCTGGAATCATGCTTTGCAACTGGGCCAGGACTTTCGGAGGCAGACCGTGCTACTCGAGCAGATACTTATTTTGCGATTGGAGTGGCGTTGTCTGGGATCCCTTATACATACGGGGATGCAGCAACGAAGATGATACTGTTGATGTTTCCAGACTCTGAAATAGCCAAGGAGTTCCAGTGTGGTAGGAAGAAGCTATCGTACAAAATTTCAGATGGCCTAGGTTCATGTTTTACGAAGGCAGTCACAGATGAACTGAACAGGCCACACACATATTATACAATTCAGAACGAGGAAACACTGCTCCCAGAGCAACGCTGCCAACAGCTGGACGTGATGGCCAGATATTTTTCTGATACACAGAAGCGTGTTGTTGTTGAGCATTTGCGCTCTTATCACTTGGGCTCTGCAACAACAGAAATCTTGCTGGCACATGTCAAAGAAGCCCTGTAAGATTTGCCTGCAAGGAAGATGCTCTGCTTTTACAGTGACGGGCCCAACGTCATGCGAAGTTTAAAAAAAAAAAAACGTTTTAAAGAAGATGTGAATCCAGCTTTGCTGGACATTAGTGAATGTAGTTTGCACAAGGTGCATAATGCATTTGCAAAAGGTCTCGAAGCATTTGGTGATACTGTATAAACAACGTTGCTTGACATATACCACTTTTTCAAAAATTCAGCTGTACAAAGTGCTACGCTGAAGGCAACACGGAGATTCCTAGGCTTGCCTGAAAATGTCCTTCTGCGGCATGAGAGCTCGCGATGGCCGACGCTGAGTTCAGCTTTGGATAGATTTATCCAGCAACATGAAGCTGTCAAGGAAACAGTTCTGGGTGCCCAACAAAAAAGTAGAGCGGGTGGCAATATTTATAGGCATCTGAAAGAAAATATAATGAAAAAGGATCTACTTCCCAAGGCAGTCTTTCTTCGAAATGTCGCAGATGTGTTTGTACTACTCAAATGGACCTGTATGTGTGTAGCATGTAAGTATGGGAGCAAAATTTAGAGACCAAGCCTTTTTGTTTAATTACTCATCAATATTGTAACAATACCAACTGCTTTTGAATATGGATAGTTCATTTTGCTGTAAAATAACCAAGAAAGGCCTAAGAAGAAAAAACTCTTGCATACTTTTAAGCTGTAGTCATTAGTCTATGTTCATCATCATCAGCCTCACTACGTCCACTGCAAGACAAAGGCCTCTCCCATGCTCCGCCACCTGACCCGGTCCTGTGCTTGCTGCTGCCAATTTATACCCGCAAACTTATTAATCTCAACTGCCCACCTAATCTTCTGTCTCCCCCTAACCCGCTTGCCTTCTCTGGGAATCCAGTTAGTTACCCTTAATGACCAGTGGTTATCCTGTCTGCGCGCTACATGCCCGGCCCATGTCCATTTCTTCTTCTTGATTTCAACAATGACATCCTTAACCCCCGTTTGTTCCCTAATCCACTCTGCTCTCTTCTTGTCTCTTAAGGTTACACCTACCATTTTTCTTTCCATCGCTCGCGGCGTCCTCAATTTAAGCTGAACCCCCTTTGTAAGTCTCCAGGTTTCTGCTCCATAGCTAAGTACCAGCAAGATACAGCTGTTATATACCTTCCTCTTGAGGGACAGTGGCAATCTGTCATAATTTGAGGGTTTGCCGAATGTGCTCTACCCCATTTATATTCTTCTAGTTACTTCGATCTCGTGGTTCGGCTCCGCGGTTATTACCTGCCCTAAGTAGACAAGGTCTTTTACAACTTGAAGTGCACTATTACTTATCTCGAAGCGCTGCTCTCTTCCGTAGTTGTACATTACCTTAGTGTTCTGCGGATTAATTTCAAGACCCAACTTTCTGCTCTCCTTGTCTAACTCCGTAATCATGAGTTGCAATTCGTCCCCTGAGTTACTCGGCAATGCAATGTCATCGGCGAAGTGCAGGTTACTAAGGTACTCTCCATTAACTCTTATGCCTAACTGTTCCCATACTAGGCTTCTGAAAACCTCCTGTACGCGGGAAACAGCATTGGGGAGATTGTGTCCCCCTGCCTTACACCCTTCTTGATTGGTATTCTGTTGCTTTCTTTATGAAGCACTATGGTAGCAGTTGATCCCCTGTAGATTTCTTCCAGGATGTTTATATATACTTCATCGACGCCCTGATTTCGCAGTGTCAGCATGACGGCTGATATTTCTACTGAATCAAACGCCTTCTTGTAATCTATGAAGGCTATGTATGGTGGTTGGTTATATTCTGAGCATTTCTCTATTACCTGATTGATAGTATGAATGTGGTCGATGGTTGAGTAGCCTGTTCGAAATCCTGCTTGTTCCTTTGGTTGATTGAATTGTAATGTTTTCTTTATCCTGTTAGCAATTATCTTTGTAGATAGCTTGCATACTACAGAGCGCAAGCTGATCGGCCTGTAATTCTTCAAGTCCTTGTCATCTCCTTTATTATGTATGAAGATTATGTTAGCATTTTTCCAAGACTCTGGTACTCTTCCCGTCAGGAGTCTATGTTGGCATATCTTAAATATCACTTTTAATTAAGCACTTTTTTTTCTGTGGCGGCCTTAAACAATAAGGGGTGAACTTAAGTAATCTCAGGAACAAGATGAGTTACAGGAAAGCTAATTAAATATGTGAATTCAGCAGAAAAAACTGTATAATCCTGTGCTGTTTGATCAAGATCACTGAAGAAATAAGAAAAATGAATGTCTAAGACCAGTGTGCCCCCTTAATGACATTTTTCATCTCCTGGGACAGTTTGCCAGTGTCCTGTCTAGTGACTGCACCTCCGACTTCGATTGCACACTCTTATAATAGTAGTTGTCACTTACGCAACATCACTTCCCTCGTTAAGAGCCACGAATCTATTCTGAAGCGAAACTCTGAATTCTTGTATTTTTCCTCTCAACGCTAGCTCATTACTTGGCTTCTTGCGTATCACAGTTTATGCCTTTGCTTTTTTAGGTCTAGGTTAATTCGAGCTCTTGCCATTTTGTGGTCACTGCATTAGATCTTGACAACTAATTCTACATCCTGTACAATGCCCAGGTGTGCATACAGAGTGAAGTCTGTTTTAGTTTCGCTATTTGGACTCTGCCACGCCCACTTACTGTTAGCCCGTTTTCTGTAGAAGGTATTCAATATTTATAAATTATTATGTTCTGTAAACTCAATAACTACCAAAAATCGGGTGTAAGCATTAAAGGACAAGGAAGGCAAGGTCACAACCAATATGGATAGGATAGTTGAGGCGGCAGAAGAGTTCTACAGAGAGCTGTACAGAAGCCAAAACAGCTTGGATGATATTCTAAGAAGCAATAATAGCCCAGAGGAATTTGACATCCTACCAGTAATGAGAACAGAAGTAAGGAAAGCCCTAGAAGGAATACAAAGAGGCACAGCCGCTGGTGAGGACAACGTAAGAGCAGACCTGCTGAAAGATGGCAGAGAGATTGTGATAGAAAAACTGGCCAACTTATATATAGAGTCTCTCGACGACAAGGGTACCGGAATCTTGGAAAAACGCCAACATCATCTTAATCTATAAGAAAGAAGACGTCAAGGACTTAAAAAAAATCACAGGCCGATCAGCTTACTGTCAATTCTCTTCAAACTTCTTAGAAAAGTAATAGATAATAGAATTAGGGTGGCATTATAATTCAATAAAACAAAAGACCAAGCATGATTTTGTACAGGCTACTCCACAATAGACCATATTCATACTATCAATCAGGTAATAGAGAAATGAGCGGAATACAACCAGCGCCTATACATAGCCTTCATAAATTACGAGAAGGCGTTTGACTCAGTCGAGACATCAGCAGTAATGCAGGCACTATGAAATTAAGGCATCGACGAACCCTGCATAAGCATACTGAAAAAAATCTACAGTGGATCCACAGCCAGCATAATTCTCCAAAAAGAAAGCGACAGAATCCCAATAAACAAGGCCGTACAGCAGAGAGACATGATCTCTCCAATGCTATTCACAGAATTTTTACAGGTTTCAGGGCCCTAGGTTGGGAAGAGTTAGGGGTAAGAGTTAATGAAGAGTATATGGCAACCTGCAGTTCCCCGATGACATTTTTTGGTCGAGTAACTCGGGAGATGAATTACAGTTCATGATTACAGAACTGGACACGGAAAGCAGAAGAGTAGGCCTGAAAATTAATATGCATAAAACTAAAGTAATGTGCAACAGTCTTGCCAGAAAACAGTGCTTTGCGATAAGTGGAGAGTAATTGGAAGTGGTTAAGGAATATGTCTACTTAGGGCAAATAGTAACCACAGAGCTGAACCACGAAAGTGAAGTAACTAGTAGAATTAGGATGGGGTAGATCACATTAAAGGGTTACCGACACAAAATTTCGGCGTCGAGATAGCCTGTGGGGTCAATTCTCGTGAACATTCGTATATCATCTGCAAGATATCAACAGCGAATATAGCTTGTAAGGTATTTTAAATTAATTTTGAAGTTTTCACGAGCATCTACTCCATAGTGCTATAGACACCCTCGGAGGTGACCCCGAGTTGACCCCCTACTTCCCTCACATTACCACGCTGCAGTCAACAAAACAAGTTATGATGACGTCATAGCCGCCATTTTTCTTTTGACGCATTAGTTTCCGAAGGCTATATTTCTCGACAGCTGGTTGGGAGTGCATGGCCATGGCGCACGCTTAAAAAGTTTTGCGTTTGGCGGCATTCCAGTGCCGTTTGTTATTCGAAATTAATTCTTGATGCAAATCGTGCGGAAGTGCGTCGCAGTTTTGTGTGCCGACGTGGTCAAGAGTTGCACACGCTAGGTGGCAACAGTTGCACCTAGTTGTTGGAACTCTCTCATACCGAAACTGATCGATGAGGGGCCTGTAATTAATTAACGCGTGATGCAGCAAACAATGTGTCGTGTCATGACTAACAGCCCTACTGCAACGCATTGCAGCAGAAAAACGCGAGGCCAAATTTTTTGTGTCAGTACCCCTTTAAGCAAACATTCTGAAATCATGAATAGTAATCTACCACTAGATCTCAAGAGAAAGGCATGTAACAGCTGCATCTTGCCGGTACTTACCAAGGGTGCAGAAACCTGGAGGCTTACAAAGAGGGTTCAGCTTAAATTGAGGACAACGCAGTGAGTGATAAAAAGGAAAATGATATGCGTAACCTTAAGAGACGAGAAGAGAGCAGAGTGGGTGAGGGAAAAACCGGGGTTAAGGATATAGTTGAAATCAAAAAGTGGACATTGGCCAGGCACGTAGCATGTAGGCAGAATAACCGTCTATCCCTGTACCGCTGGTCATTAAGGGTAGCTGACTGGATTCGAAGAGAGGGAGACAGAAAATAGGATGGGCAGATGAGATTAAGAAGTTTGCAGGTATATAACATGGCAGCAAAAAAGCACAAGGCCGGGTTGATTGGCAGACCATTGAAGAAGCCTTTGCTCTGCAGAGGGCACAGTCAGGCTGATGATGTTAATGACTAGCAGATTTGGGCAGAAACGCCCAAAATATCGTTTTATAGGCACTATAAAAACTATGAGAACCTAGCTCAACTTCCAATTCATGCTCGTGTATTAAAGTGGCGCGACAGAAGCACAAGAAACAAAATATAGGCCTTTGCTGAAAATAGCAGGAAGCAATACTTTTTTTTGCCTTAGGCTCAAACGAGGTAAAAACAACGAATGATGAAGAAATATATTTAAAGAGGTGAAAATTGAGTGATGTTGAATGTTTTTCAGGCCACTTGCCATTTATATGGCCCTTTACGTGCAAGAGGCACACAGAAATGCAGTGCACAAAAGACACGCGTACCATGCAGTAATATTTCACAGTTTGTTCTCCTGCCTTCATTATGCCAGCTTTCCTCTGTGGGAATTCTTTAAGTACTCTTCAGCAGCTAGTCAGCTAACGCGCCAATGAGTTCACTGAATTCAATGTGAGCATTTCAGCCAAGTACAACAATAAGACCACTGCATGAGAATTTTCTTTGCCTATCGCGATGTTCTAGTCCATGACAAGATGGTGGCTCACGCTGCATATGTGGGTGCAAGATCAAGTCTATGAACAGAGAGAGGTAAATCTTTACTAATAAAATAATGTTGTGCAGGGAAGGATGGCAATTTGGTGCAAGCAGTCGTCCTGGCTTTCCTATGTTGAAAATGTCACGTGATCAATGTGCACACTAGTGGAGGATGGTGCACATCTCCACCTTTACCTTGGCCACAACCTATATGCACTGCGTACCTGTGTATCAAGCCTTGAAGGCCACGTAACATTTTCAAGACAAGGGCAAGTGACAGGCAGCACGAAGCATTCACTTCCCGCAGTTGGAAGTAATGGCAGCAGCACTGCGACAGCCAGTGTTTGTTGTCATTGAGTAAGGTAGTACATTTGCTTGCCTGTGAGGAAGTGATGCTAAGCTTGTTAATTTAGTAAGCAAGTATTTATTGCACAGCAAATAAAAATATGGGCCTTATTCAGTGCAGTTGTACCATACTTTGAGATTGTTACAAACTGGAGCTGTGTGAACAGAAAAATTATGGGTGCGAAGCGAATCAGAATGTCGAAGATTTAATGCGAATCGAATAGAATATTTTTGAAATATTTTTACGACATTTTTCCAACACTTCAAAGTGACATTGTAGAAAAAAAAAAAATAAGGAGTTGGAGAGGATTCCTAAGTATATTCTTATGAGACAGCAACACGAAAGTGTTCCTTTTGGCTAGGTTAATGAAATGCTGAAAGGGTGGTATTTCACAGTAGTATTATAAAGAATGAGACAATGCAGAGGTCAAATAGTAGTGATGAACATGTTATGGTGCAACAGAAGTGTTGCTGACATTTGACATATGAAAGGAAAAGGCACTAACTACAAGCTGTCGCGAATGGAGAGAGAGAGGCACTATTTCCTCAGCCTCTCCTCTTTCAACTGATGTGGCAGACAACGGTGTGCTGTCTTTGAGTCCTCGAGTTCTAAATCTGCCTCATAGATGTCAATTAAGAACATCTGAAATTTTGGATGCTAAAAATCTTTGCTATCTGACTTATCAGACTTCCTGCCCAAATTTCAGGTACAAAACAGTCTTAGTTGAGCCGTCACCTCTGCCACGTCTGCCATCTTTGTATTGAAACCAGAGCCTGAAAGGCAGCTTTGCTGTAATACAACAGTGTGATGGAATGAAGCGTATTGAAAATCTGAAGCGGCCACTGCCAATTTTGGACATGAACTGTTTTTGTCTTTGGGAAGTTCAAATAGTTTGAATAGTAAAATTTTATTGCTACTTGAATCTAATAATAAACACTATCAGAAAGATGTTTGGAATTTCAAATATTTGCACACACTTAATTGTAAATAGTTCACCTTAAAGTGAAACTGCGGCTTTTCATTCAAGGAGCTTCTCTATTACACCTTTAAATTTAGGTTTAACTCATTGCAACTGTAAAATAAATCATTTTGAGCCCAAAGCTTGCCATGTTAAGGCCAACGCCTTGTTCACTTCATCTTATGTTTCACAGCTACCCGTATTGATATCTTCAATCGTTTATGTAATATTTTTCTGTTACAGGACCAAGTATGATGCAGTGATGTTTTATTGAAAAGACAACAGCAAAACTCTGAGGAATTTACCTCAGAGGTTACAAATGAATGATAGTAATGTCCCCAGTCTTCAAAAACAATGCCCCCCCCCCCCCTTCCCTCTCACTCGGCAACAAAAAAAGTGTACTGCACTGACTTCCACTTTCACATATGGACGGGCATTTTAAAACAAAGGACCGGCACGCTAGTTGCGGGTGCACTTCTAGAGGCTGTCCTTGGAGAGGTGGTCGACTAGAACACTTTGGTGGCAGCTTAGGGGGCCTTCGAAGGTCCCGTGAAAGACAGCATGTCGAGAGACCGGTCAAGAGCAACGTACATGTAACTGGGGTCAAATGCCAATGAATAGACCGGGCTGTTACGTTTGCCAACGTAATACATCTGTAAAGAATAAGCAATTCCACTTGAGTGACAGTGTTAGGATCAGTCATGAAAATAGGCGCACAGCACAAACACATGACACGAACAACCAAGAGGTAAAGCGTTTCCCCTCTTGATCACTTGTGTTGTGCACTCAACAGCAACATGACTCATATGTCTTGACTGAGCTAAATCTCCACCTTGTCAAGCATTTGGATGTGTCTAAAACAAGCCTTGTATTGCGTCCATGTGTACACAAAGCACTCTTTAGAGATGCCAACTTTGGAGCAATATATATATATATATATATATATATATATATATATATATATATATATATATATATATATACACACAGTAACGATCACAGTGAATACAGGTGCACTTGACATCCTCTGCTTGAGTGATGTTGGAGTTGGTAAACTGTAAAATACTTTACTTCAATTGACTTCATATATAGCAGGTAATTCAGAGGTTGAAGTAACTTTACCCAAAGCCTGAACCTGACCAAAAATAGTGCATGTCACATGAAAGTAAAAAATATTTGTGCTATTCAAGATAGAATGAGCTGAATGACCATGTACAACTACACTCGCTACACTCTTCACCAAGGAGAAAGAAGTATTTGAGGAGGCGAAACTCCCAAGCTGTGCTAGCGGGCGAGGGCTATGTGATAGCGCCATAAAGTGATGTAGTTTACGCCAGCGCTTGGCAGATGGCGCTTTCGGCATGTTGCCATCTGTTACATGCGCTTCTATGGATGCGACGGACGAAAATTGCGATAGCGCCTTGTACACTGCAGAAGTTTTCAGATTTTTGTATGCAACGTGAATGAATATATGTGACAGATATTTGCCAGAATTGACAGATATTGACAGAATTTGTGACAGATATTTCAGTGGCAGTTACTAATTAATACTGCCAAAATTACACGCCGCTAGTAATGGCCCAAGCGCAGATGACGTCTACCGCATGCACGTGCCTCTCGCTCTCATGTTGTGGGCGTGCATGTGTGGGTGGCCTTGGAAGGAAAAGTTCCCCCACAAGCTGTCGCGAACCTTTTTGCAATATGCAGGCTTCTGTCTCTTTAGCACTCTCAGTGGCTTCAGTGCGTTATGCCGGCAGCGCTAACTGACTGTGCGCGCTTTTCACGTCGCTACAAAGGAGAGCGCTTTGTAGGATTCGAGCAATGCTTCTTCAGGATGTAGCGGAAATGTGTTGTGCCAAACTGCAACAGTGGTTACGCATCCTGCAAGGAGAAGGCAATCACCTTTAAATCTTCTAGTGACCCGATGACGTAAGTGTGGGTTCGCGCCATACCTAGGAAAGATCACGAGCTGACGCCTCATGACTACGTTTGTGAGAAGCACTGCTTGTATGGCGACTCTGCCAGGTCATGTTGCATGACATATAGACATGTTACACGACACTGCATAATATTCATACACAGTTTTTTTTTTTTTCGAACTAGCTTCCAGCAGTGTTGCAGTTCTGTAGCCTAACAGCTGCATGCCATGAAGAATGGGTGGGCACGATTCCTACCTTTAACGTGACTAAAACCGTACACATTTGCATCTTTCAATTTCGCAGTCACGGACAATGCTGATTTTTTCTTTCTAAGCATTGGCGCCAACGCCAGCCTTCCTGTGGAAAGAGCTCTTTAACGCTGTCGCTTTAAAATTTGGAGCCGACAACGACTCACTGAAACATCCAGTTGCACTCGAAGAGCAAACGGCGAATCCGAGCGGAGTGGCCTTAACGAGAGCATGGTCAGAGTGACGCGCAGGTTTTTTTCTCCTCTGCTAGCAGAGTTTCACAACAGAGGGCGCGTAAGTGCCGTGCCCGATTTCGTGACTCTTTCAAGGCGCCTGAGCGAGCACAGTTTCGCCTCCTCAAAAAATTCTTGCTCCATGCTCTTCACACTACCTGCATAGTGCAGAGATTGTATTTAAGACCAAAACAGTGCACCACATTCTGAAAGCAAAAAATACATAGCATGATGATTAGGCATGACACCAGCTTTCCCTGACGTACTTCTCATATATAAAGCAGTTTAGTAGCATTGCCTGCCGGGCCTAAAATGTAGCATAACAGCAAAGCTATAACAAGGCACTTAAATACAACAGAACACTAAATTCAGCACGGTTACTTGGACAATTTTGCATAAATTTTGATAAAGCTTGTTCTACACCTCATGTTGAATCTTTCCAACAGCTTTTGCTGTTGGAAAAATTTATTTTGCATGATTGACACAAAAATTCATTAGCTTTCAATGTAGAAATTTTCAATTAACAACAGTTAAAACTGAACTGTAAACACAAACATGCACAAAGCAGAATGGGCATACTGCATTTTTTGCACTGAAACTTTCGATGGTATGGATTTTTCAGTGTTGGAGATTTTACCTAGGAGCCCTGCGACCTCGATCATGCCTCACTTTTCGTAAGTTATAATGGCGTTTTTTTTTTTAGTGATGGCGTAAAAAAAACTTTTTGCAAGCATTCTGGGATGCTTTCACTCATATGTGAAACGAAAGGTTTCCATGATTGCTCTTTTATACATGCTGTATTTTAAACAGTGATTAAACAGTGACTTCGATCTAACCATCGGTCGCAAGGCGAATCAGATGCTTCATATACTAAATAGCCGGAAAATTAATGCAGTGATAAGAGAAGTGGAGCCCACAGATAAATAACTAAGTACAATATAACTGTGGAAGCCATACTGCCTTGCCCACAGATGACCCCTGTGATTCAGAAGAGAAACCTCTGCTCCTCACTTTTAGATAGATAATTACCTATTATCGGGACCCCGGCTCTTGCTTTCCTGCGCCCTGTGAAGGACTTAGGAAGGTGAATGAGTGGATTCTCTGCCTATTCACCAAAACGCCACTGTGCCCTGCATTACTTGAGTGTTCTGACTCTTCTTTTTCCGGCCTCTACTACATGAAGGTGGAGGTACTACATGGAGGTGGCTGACACCTACCACATGGTGTAAGTATGCCAGCTCAATGGTTTTTTACTCTAACCAAAGAGGAGTGAGAGGCGGTCCTGCTCAGCTTCCAGGACCTTTCGGTCCAACAAGCCATAGTCCGGCATGCCAGAACAGCAGCCACGACTAATGAAGTCCCTGACCAAACTCCACTTTGTACTTTAGTGAAGCTGACACACTAGAGGCTAGTTTCCCTTACAACCTCTCAGCTTAATAAATGCCACCACCACCAAGTGGAGCAACTTAAGGTCCAACGGTGACATTGCGCTCATCAACAATGACGACGACAAACTGCAAATGGTGAAAGAAGACCTAAACTGAGAAAGCTCCTTACCAGGATAGAACACGCACTGAAGATGAAGGTAATGTTCGATGGCGAATTACTAACAGGCGAGCCGAGCCGTCTCACGGAAAGGCAATTCACCAAAAGCGAAAATGGGCTAGAAAGCACACATTAGCATTCACAAATAATGACATGCAAGTCGCCACTGTCTTTAAGGTAAACTGTATCACTGAATTCTGCCAGTACTAACATACAGGGGAGAAACTTACTCGGCGACTTTTCTCGGCATTAGAGTGAATGCTACAGAGCATGCTACAGAGCCAAATCGCAGGGATTCTACCGCCAGTGAATGTAGTTCCACAACAGCACTCATATTTTCACTGTGAAATATAGAAGTTCCCCCTTTATTTTCTACGTGGAGCTATTCAAGACTGGGCGCAGCTCCCACCATTAAGATAGTCGTATTTACTTTAACTTATTCGTTTTGACTTCGTGTTTTTGAGCGCGCAACAAAGTCCCGCTTTTTTATGTGCACCTCAAACGCTAAGCGCCGTCTGCATCTAAATGAAACGCTGATGATGCGCCCCTGTCACTTTCTATAGCATTATTAGACGCGCGCCAAAATGAGCTACTTCGCGTAGAGATACCTGTGCAAAAGCTCTGCCTCCGTAGCTTTCCCTTCATTGCCAAGAAAAGTTGTCGCCGATTATAGAGGAGTGCAAATAAACTAAAAAATTTTACACAACACCTACAGCATGCAATGAAACAGAAAATGATAGGTGTTTAGACAGCTGAGTGATTCAGAGAGAACTAGACCTGAGCAGGCCAAAAGAAAATAATAAGAAGAATAACCAGCAAACAGGTGGAGTTATGGAATGGGTACCAAAGTACAGAAAATACACCCAAGAATGGCAAAGGATTAGATGGGCTGATATAACCAAGAATATTACAGCCATAAAAAGGAATTTACTCTCACAAGAAATGGTACAGCAGACATCATTGAAAGGCTTTCGTCCTGCAGTGTACATAAAATAGGGTGGTGGCGATGATTTGGAAGCCAATTTTGAACAAGAAAGCCAAAATTGCACTGAAAAAGAACTCCTGGTCGCATGTTCTTTTGTTTGTTGATTCATGCAGACCAAGTGTAGGGTGTTTCTTTTAAGTAATATAGATTTTTTTTAGTATAGTTTCTGACAGATTAGTAAAGCTTAATATGGATAGCAGAATTTTAGTTCTTGTCCTTGAGCTGGGGTATTTTAAATTATAAACATTATGTAATTAAAAAAAACTAAGGTAGCACATATTTGAGCACATTCTTATTAAATAAGTAAGCTAATTTACTTGACATATTGCACTTTAAGAATTGTAGCTAATGACTCTTCAATGCATATCCACTTGAAATTAATTCTGAACGTGGCACATATTACAAGACGCATTTTTTTTCAAACAAGACACAGTTTCATGCATTGAAACAAGTTAGTAACTGAACGACAATGTCCATAAAAGGTTAATGAAAATTTTCATTAGCTGACTGTACTTTGCCTTTTCATACAGGTAATATCCATCACTTTGTCTCATACATAACAAGGACAAACAATTATACCACCTGTCTTAAGTGATTTGAAATATTTTCTACAAGATCTATAAAGAAACATCCAGCATAGGTGGTGGCAGTACTATATACTACGTATAAGGCTATTCACGAATTATGTACTCTTAAGCAGCTCAAACCCAGGTGTGGAAAGGGACTGCAGTCTTTATGTCCTCTGCCACAAAAGAGGGAGGAGGATTGTCTTCCCCGGGTGATGCACCATAGCATGTAATCTTTAAGATTCCCGAAAGCTCTCACATGATAGAGCAGGCATCTCAAAGCTATATATTAGGCAGTTGCGGGGTGCAAAAATGGACCCTGCAACTCGGTTGTGCGAGCACACACTGTCTGAATTGGAGGTGAAAGTCCAACCACCACTGAAAATATGGGGGGGGGGGGGGTCTAATTTCTTTCTAAAAATGAACGCAGACACACAACTTCCACCACACTTACGTTCACTGGTTTAGTCATGCGCTTGTCCCAAAGACGCACCACACCATAACGACTGGTACCACTTAGCACAGTTACATTGTGATCCGTGGCCATACAGTAGACAGTAGAGTCATGGGGGTCCTCCCAAGCTTGAACACTGCAGCATGACAGTTGAGTATTTCAGTGCTCTGGAGAAAAACTGCATGAAACTCAACTGAACTAACAATTTTTGATATTAGGGCCAATGACTGGGACTTAGCACTTCACATAATAAAACAACCTTTTGATGCATGTTATAATACCAAGCAAGTGTCATTTTACAGTGACAGCCTCATAGTATACACGTGTCTATGTGCAAGCCTACAGGTGTGCTATATGCCTAAAAAACACTTTTAAAGATACAGTCGATCCCAGATATATCGAACTCTAAGAGGATCACAGAATAGTTCGAAATATCGATAATTTTAAATGAAAAATATGCGTATATAAGGCATCTATTAAAGCATTTCAGGCCTCGGAAATTGTTACGAGCACTAACATAATGATTTGCTCACAGTATAATGAAGGACAAGATGTGAACTGCAAGTTATTGCACTTTATTTTGTACGAAAGTAGTCCGTAAACTTGTCTCGCTTCTTGCGTGCCGTCAAGTTCCAGCCATCCTCAATATTGTTGAAGCTTTTCAAATAAGCTAATTCAGCTCCATCAGCTACAACAGCGTTGACTGATACAGGACGCCGATTTAAGCTTATTAGCGCGACAAAAGGTTGGTTAGTGGCAGCAGCAATGGCACATTCATAACCACATGGGTATACTTCCGTAGCAATGGCAATGGCAGCCACGATCTCAACATCGATGCAGTTAGAAATAGCTATGCCGTCATCTGAACCAATAAGTCACTCACTGTAAGAGATGATGCCCAGAAACGCTGATAAGTTGCAGAATTCACCGAGGCACCGTATGCCAGCAGTCATGATGCACCCGAAGTCGTCACCTGGCCCGCAAGGCAAGGTTACGACAGTGCTTTACTAAACATCGCTCCAAGCACCAGTGATTTAATTTTTATCGGTGCGTGCGGGTCAACATTCACTTCACTTCAACTCCAGAATGAGGATTTATCAGGATCGCGGCGCGGAAGCACACAAGCCATGGTAGGGTGCTTAGAAAGGGGAAATGTGCGGAGTGCTGCGCGTTGCCCTTGCCAGAGAGGGTCCCTCTGCGCGCCGATGCCGCAAGGGGCACTGCATGGGACAGCCGTCGTCGTCGAAAATTATCCGAAGGAAGCTAAGCGCTCGAACGCCTCACCCCCCCCCCTCTTTTTTTGGCGTTCACATGATTTCATATATGGCTCATACATTTCATTGCAGTGAGGATGATACTCTATAAAACGATGAAGAAGGCTCAATGTTCTTGCTTCATTCTCGACTGCAACTTTGGATTCAGACAGGGTTCTGTAAATGTTCTGAAAACTCAAATAATGAATCGAATGGTGTTCAATTCAGTACTCTTGAATCGAATCACACATTCGAAATGTCTAATATTTTTTTCTGAATATTTAACACTGGCGGGAAAACCCGAAGAGCCACACATTTCAGTAAGAGACTGCACTTATTTGTTTTAGTCATTGTAGTTAAAAGGTCGCGAGAAAGTACCTCCTTGAATTCTGAATTAACCTCCGTGTTTGAGCGAACAGTTAAAAATTTTTCATTGGCTGTCACTGTCTAAACAAGTTTACCCCAGTTAACCTTACAATGACCTATTTTGCCGGTAAAAATTGATATTGATTCTTTTGTTCATGTTTCTGACTATTAACTTTATATTAAATATTGTTGAGGCATGCAACTATTCTGAAAATTGTTCTCCTGCTATTCGAACAATATTAAATTTGTATTCGATTCATTATCACTAACATTACTTCATTTGTATTCGGTCGGGTTCTAAATTTGGCTATTGGCACAGCCCAGTAGGTACAGGTAGTCGACCAAAGAAGCGTCTGTTCCGAGCACTGACGCGCAAGGAGCTGTTTGAGACCTGGGCTCATGTAATACCGATAGTTCATGTTCAATAAGTGGTGGCCACCTAATTTGTTACACTGCGCGCTATATGTGACAACGGAGCATATTCTTTACATCTACCGATTTACGCAAAGCAGCTTGCTTCAACATGACTGATATGTGGGGTTTAACGACCCAAAACCACCATATCATGAGAGACGCAGTAGTGGAGGGCTCTAGAAATTTCGATCACCTGGGGTTCTTCAATGTGCACCCAAATCTGAGCACACAGGCCTCAGAATTTTCGCCTCCATCAGAAATGCAGCCGCCGGAGCCGGGATTCGATCCAGTGACCTGCGGGTCAGCAGCCGGGTACCTTAGCCACTTGACCACCACAGCGTGGCAGCTCGCTTCAACATAAAAAAAAAAAAAAAGTACTCGAGAAGTGTGTGATGGCGGGCTAGTTGGTAAGACATTTAGGAAAACTATAACTGCGCTAACGGAGACACGAGGACGAAGTGGACAGGAAGATCGTAGACTAGCAACTGTTTTATTAGAAAAGTACACCCCCTCCCCCACCCGTTTTTTTAAGTTTCAAAAAAAAAAAAAGGGGGGGGGGGGAGGGGCATACTTTTTCAATAAACCAGTAGCTAGTCTGCAATCGTCCTGTCTACTCCATTCTCCTGTCTCGTTTTTAGCGCAGTTTATAATTTTCCTAAATAAAAAAAAAGGGCATCCCTATTCTGCAGGCGGGGGCAGTAGGGTACCATAGTAGTCCCTCTTACTTGTGAGGCGGGGTGTACCAATTAATTCAGTCACTTGAGAACAAGCTGACCATTTTTTTATATGGCTTGCATCCACACAGCCTGCTGCAGACATGTATAGCGAAAGATTGGGCAAATGTTCCTGGTCGGTTACTCTGAGCATGTCATTATGTTAACGCGATCAGTTACACTTTTATTGCTTAACTCACTGCATTCATTTATAAACAAAGTCAACATTTAATTTCCTACTCCTCGGTTAGCTTCTACACCAGCTAAGGAGGAAAGGTAATTGAGGTTCGAAATGGGTGTCCCTCGATGGCTTGAGTTCTCGGTGGCAGCGCGAAGAACCGTAGTCTGATGATGAGACGCTTTATTGCAGCACTTGGGCATCTGCCCATGTCCAAGCCCAAACCTCTGCTCTCATTTTACATCTTAACACCCTCTTTTCAACCCTCGGCCGAACAAAGGGTCTCCCACTGGCCAATCACATGTGGGGGCTCACATCGCCACAACCAATCGCAGAAACACTTTCATAACAGACACTGCATTGGTAGAAACCACGTTACAAAATACAACATGGGAGAGGATAGCTTTTATGGGCAACGCGTGTTGTCACACTCTCTCTCATGTCAGCCCGTGTATCGGCTGACGTTTGTCGGTAGCTGTTCTCAGGCTCGAGCGCCGTCAGTTCTCTCACTGAATGTCGCTTAGTAGAAGCCGCTCTAAATGGAGTGAGAATGTTGTCAGGCCCTGTCCACTGACACTGTGTGCATGTTACAGCGAGGCGTCCCGCCATCCCAAGGTAATGATGTATTGCGGGAGCAAGCTTGTCTGCGTGCCCGAGAAGCCGTATTGTCACCGAAGAATGAATATGCATGTGTCTCGGTCGACACAATGGTCACGTCCGTGCGACATTCTTGAACGGCACACGTGAATACCAGACAATAAACTTATAACCAGACGGACCGCGCTTCGCCTGGTTCTTGCAAGATGCGCTTCCAGGTAGGCTTTCCCCCTTTTGTCCCTAACTGGGGGCGACTTTGACAGCTATGCTCATGATCCATGTGAACGACGAAATCTTGTTCCCATGCGTTGATCTTCCGCGTTCCCTTTCGCGGAACGGATCAGCGTCGTTAGTTGGCGAGTCGGGAACTTGCTCCGCCCTCTGCAGCACCCGCATAACTTGCGCCACACAATGATGCGCCGCTCTGCATACCTTTTACTAACTTCAACCAAAAGGAGCAACACACGGGCTAGGACCCGTGTCCGGTAGACTGCTTTTTTTTGCACAGATCAAAGAAGCTTGCTTTGCGTATGAATGGGTTTTCTTTTCAACTCATTTTTTTTTTCTGAAAAAAATGCACACACGAGGCATTGACCAGCAGCCAGAGGATGTCCGAAAGAGCAGGCAAGTTAACAATGTGAACAGGCATTGAATATGACTTCAATAAGTTAGTGACGCATAATTAAATTAGAAAAATGGCGGGATAGAAGCAAAAAAAAAAAAAGACACGGTGCTCAAATTAAGTGGCATGCTTGACATGCCTCCATTAATATACAATAGACTCTCGGTAAACGGAAATCTACTTAAATGAAACAAGTGCTTCTGACAAGATTGGTTTCGTGCTTGACCTTGTTCATCTCTCTCTAAACGGAACTCCTGTTAAATGGAACATACTTTCATAGTTCCTTCAGGTTCCGTTTAGTGCAAGTCCACTGTACTCAGAGTTTTCTATTTAGGAAACTCCATAGATATACTAGCACGCAGTGCTACTCAGTATGCAGCCTACTGCGTGATAATGCATGTGAACGCTATTTTTCAAAAAAAAAAAAAAAAGGGGGGGATGAAGTCAACCCCTTATTATTACGCTCAGAAAAAATGATTAGCGTTCGAATGTGTGGCACGCAAAGAAGAGCGTGAGCCATGTCCCTTGAGCACAAACAAGACTGCACTGTACTTCGTCTCCTCAGCACCCCACGCCCCTGCGTACAGCGCCCCTTGAGGCATCCGTGCACTACGAGGCACGGTTTCAACGAGTGCTTGTCCCACCTCCCCATTCTAGCCACCCTCTCCGTAGCATAAAACAATGTTGAGTTTCTACAGTTGACATGTTGGCCATATCGATGTCACTTGTGCCTTTGTAGCTGGCAGTGGCTGCTTTCAACTGCTTTGATGCGAAAAGCTAGAAAGAGCGTAGCCTTTGAGATGTGCATTTTAAAACCAAAAACACCAGAAATAAGTCACGCAGTTGCACATCTCGAAGGCCATGCTTTTTTGTGTGCCATTGTCTGCTAACAAGAAAGGGAAGAATGCAAACATTGCAACGAGATCACCGAGCCACTTCACATTCTCATTTTGGTGTTCCCAGCAATGACAAACACACTGCACGCGCGTTAAG